ATTGCAAATCTTTGTACTTCTTTTCGGATCGGCGTTGGTTCTTAATTGTTTCGGCACTCTTTCGAGACTCGTCGTCCAAGCTTGCTTCAAGATCGCGGCACTAAAATACAAAAATATCTTTCAAAAAACAGAAAATATTTTAATATTTTTGGTAGGAAAATACTGTTGGATGTTTGGTAGTTATCTGCGAGCTTCTATGAAAGAATTGAAGTTAGAGTTAAAGGCTAAAATGAAAGGTTTGACATTATGATGGAAGGTTTTGACATTGATGTTAAAAGCCATGATGAAAGATATCAATAGCTCGATCTTATGAACTGGAAACTATTACTGACTATCAAAGACGGGTATCCAAATCTTGATTCGAAAAAAACAAATTGAATACATACACGTTGTTCCAATTTTCTTATCTGGGCTTTCAAGTTTTTGCCTCCAGCTGCCTCGGCCTCTTCAAGTCGTCCTTGCATGTCACGCAACTGCTTCTCGAAGTTCGATTTGCCCTTTTCGGCACTGGATGCTGAGTCTTGTGCTGCAGCCAACTCTGCTTGCATTCTTGCAACCTTGTGTAAAAATCATGTGCTTAGAATATAGGTATTATTATGAAATGTCCACAAAACTCCGTGTAGAAATCGGATAATAATTAATTAGTATGCTTGTGTGGAATTGGGTTCTAAAGCAAGAAGTGAAACAAATTTGTCTACAAGGATACCAATGCATTGTGACAATCGAAACAGATGATTTGTGCCATTGCAAACGCTACAAATCAACGGCGAGGCCTAAAGAGCGAATTTCCACATTTTTTTGATTTCCCACGTTGCTAAATCATAAACACCATTCTAATTCTTTTACCTCAGCCAAAGCTTTGTTTGCTCTGTCCTCAGCTGCTCTTGCCTCGTTCTCCAATTCTTCGATCTCTTCTTGAACAGAGTGCAAGTCACCTTCAACCTTTCTTTTCGAATTCTGCAATACTTGGATTTGTTGTGCCAATTCATGCACCCTATCGTTGTTGTCGTTGCGTTCGTTCTCAGCCAATTTCCTTGCACGCTCAATCTATCGCCAAAGAAAATTAACACTTTAACAAGGCCCAATTTGTTTATCAAAAAATGAACAGTAGGTGCATTTAAGATAAAATCAATTAAGAAGAGATTCTGCAGCTCTTAAAATTGCATCGAGAGAATTATTACTTTCTTTACATTTATATCGAATAGATAGGCTCAAAAAATCTTAGAGAATAGAGGATACCAAATTATTGCTTTGTTGAATATTTAGTACAAACTTAAAAATTTCACTTTCGAACAAAACTTCGTGTTAAAATATCTCTTTTACGAAGATTTTACTAACAAAGATTCTGACCAATACAATTTTCTAATCTTCGAAAAAATCGCAGGATTACCTGTTCATATGCCATCTTGAGCTCGTCGAGTTCTTGCTGCAAGTCATTGCAACGTCTCTCCGAGCGAGCAGTGACGTCACGGCCGTCATCTCTTGCCCGTTGCTCATCCTCAAGCATTGATTGCAATTCCTTCATCTGTTGCTGCAACTTCTTGATGGTCTTGGACTGGTCAGCATTGACTCTGTTCGATGTGTCAATCTGAGATTCGAGCTCGGCCAAGTCAACTTCAGCCTTCTTCTTCTGTCTTGCATGCTCAGCTTTCGACTTCTGTTCTGCATCCAAGGCTTGCTGTACGCTGTCAATCTGCCGTTGGTGGTTCTTTCTGTAGATTGCATTAAGATGTATCAGTGAAACAATCCTAGAGAACTAGTAGGTAAATCTCCTTTATAGGGGAACCAGTATCGATTGATACCGCTTACAACAAAAACTTATATCTCACAGTTTTCTAAGGCTAGAATAATGCTAGAGAAAAAGGCTGGCATTAACATCAGTTCTTCATGATAACTTTCTAATAACAACCATCTTACCTCAAGTTCTCAATTTCATCGTCCTTCTCGGCAAGCTTGCGCTCGTTGGATTGCCTGACCTGGGTCAATTCAAGTTGTGCTTTCAGCACCTTGCCTTCTTCCTGCTCAAGAGCAGCTTCGGCTTCTTCCAACGCAATTGAGAGTTCTTCCTTTTCCATTTCGTACTTCTTCCTCATCTTTTCGTACTCGTGAGAGCTCTTTCCACCTTCAGACAGCTGAGAAGTGATGCTGCGAATTTCATCTGCAAGAAAGTCATATTGCTACAGCTCACGATGTCAAAATTACAAAAATATCATTCGCGCACAATAATCCCATACATTTTCTTTGTTGTGAAGTGTCTGTTTCATTGATGATATCTACACAACTTGGCAAAAGCTTAAACGGCTATTCTCCAAAAACCAGCTCTCTTTGCTTTTTTATTTTTACCTTGTATCAGAAAGGAGTGTTTTCGAACAAAGAGGCAATGTTGTTAAGCGTTCAAAGAGACTGATCTGTTCCTCTTTTGCAATTTTTTGTTACATCCGCTGAATTTAAAGACTGGAATTGTGGAAAGCTCGCGACTTTCATCAGCGAAAGCCTTTGCTAAGTCAGAAGAGCAATTACAACCTTTAGTCTAGTGTTCTAAGGTGAACATCTCATTATCAAGCTATGTTATAATGCAGATAGCAACAAAGCAACTTTTCAAGGGGCAGGTTGAAACAAACTCTTTGACAAATACCTTGCAAGTTCTTGTTTTCCTTCTTGAGCGCCTCCATCCTGTCAATGGCTTCGTCGTGAGATGTTCTCATCTTTAGAAGCTGGATTGCACAAAGAAACAAAATGGTTAAGATGAATGAAGCGATTGAAATTAAAACTTTGCAGCATTTTTAACAGCACTGAAATCAAAAATAAGCAGATACTCAAATGTCAATTATTATAACCCTCAAACTTCATGAAAGAAACTCTATATGTACAGCAAATATGCTCTTGATTGAAAATATCCAATTAGTCAAGAATTGAAATTTCATAGATTGCCTGTTAGTCGCAGCCATGTTAAGTCACACAATTTACAACGACAAAGCAGGCATTACCTCAGTGGAGTACGAGCGTGATTCGCGTTGCGCGTTGTCGAGGTCAAGTTGGATTTCTTCGCACTTGTTCTTCCATTCGTTGATCTGTTGGTCGACCTTCTTCTGCTTCTTCTCCAAACTTGATGCTTGAGCTTGAGCCTATCGAAAATAGGGATGTTAAAGGTGCAAAATATTTTTGACGTTATTTAGTAAACATTGTAATGAGAATTAAGAATTATCATTAAGCATAAAGATGCAGGAAATACTCATACTATTTACGATAAAATCTTTCAAATTACGAAGGTAGAACATTTTCTCAAGTATTTGAATAATCTAAGATTTGTTAAAACAAAGCAGCAATTTTACCTTCTCCAAGTCAATATTGAGATCTTCTAGCTCGCCATTCATCCTGTTCTTGGCTTTCTCCATTGATTGGGCCTTGAGCTCGGCAGCTTGAAGAGCCTCTTCCATCTCTTGCACCTTGGCAGTGAGCTTTTTCCTTGATAAGACAAGAAACAATTCTCAAAAAAATACGGCCAGAAAATATTTTCAATTTAATAAATTGCCTTGACTCGCAGTAGCAATAGGATTGACCATGGACATATTTCTTTGCACCATGGACATATTTCTCTGCAGATCGTCACGTATTGCAGGTCGCCATTACAATACTATTATCATTGGAAACAATTGATTTCGCAAGGTTTCGCAGATAAACTGAAGTTTGAGAAAACTCTTACATAAAAAGGGATATGTCACATTTGTTTAGAATCCCAAGCTTTATGTGATTTTATGTTTATCTCAACAACATCTTCTTATGAAATGTTGTAAGAAATTGCATTAAGGCAATGTTCTAGAATTTCCACGTGGTTCATAGAAAACCTCTTTCTTAGTTACTTACTTGGAATCTTCAAGTTCCTCAACGCGATTGGCACCCTCGGTTTCGTATTTGCCGCGCCACTGCTGGGCCTCGCTGGCAGCCTTAGACAGTTTTGATTGCAGAGCACTTCTGACGTTTTGCTCCTCCTCAAGATTCTCATTGAGCTGTTCAATCTCGGCCAAAGCTTGCTGGCATTTATGCTGGGCGTCTTGCTTGCCACGAAGCTCGTCCTCGTACGCTTGCTTCATTTCATTCAAGCTGTTGTCCAGGGTCTTGTTGTTCTTCTGGAGCATGCCGATTTGGTGCTCAAGCTCTTCAATCTGGGCGTTCAAGTTGGTTGACTCAGATGACATCCTTGTTTTCATTGATTCCAAGTCAGATACGCTGCCTTCGGTGTGTGAGAGCTGTAAAAAACGGGATTGCTTTATGTAACATGTATATCAAACTTAACAAATCAGACTTAACCGTGTTAAAATATCATGCCCAACGAAAAAAAGGACTCACAAGTACTCAAGTAAGCTAACTTATCTAAAAAATATCAATTTGCGTCGAGTAACTTTGTTGAAATACACTGAGGTAAAAGTGAAAAATATCTATTTATCTGCAAAAAGTAAGAAAGCGCTCATTTTGAAACCCTTTGAAACTAGAATAATTATCTGTCTAGTATCTTTGAAATCAATCTTTTGGTGGTACAAAACTTGTAAATAGCTTTGAAAAAAGCAAACATTTAGTAAACTAAAGCTTTTCGTCTGACACTCTTCAGAGTTTAAAACGTCAGAACATAGATCGAAAACTCTACGCTAAGAAATATATATACCCAGTTGTGGAACGAAATAGGCCAATCAGAAACACGAGCACATGACTGTAAAGGTTGACCAATCAGTGCCGCTTGCCTATTAGAATGTTACCAATGGAGTCCTAAGGTGAAAACGAACTCCTTTTGTCTACACAGTAGCGGTTTTTTCGTGCTTATGTAGATAGATATCTTTGAAATGTAAACTTACTCTTTTTGCCAATTGAATTTACAACTTTATTACGTCAGGTCACAAGACAGGGACAAGAAACAGAGCGCATATGATGTATCTTACCTTAGCCTTGGTTTCGTTCAGCTGCTCTTCCAAAGCCTTGTTGTTTCTGTCTGAATTTGCCTATCAAACATAAAAGCAAAGTATGAATATGCCTATCAAAAAAAGGAATAAAAAATCTGATGTAGGTAATAATGAAATCTTTGCTAAACATCATACTTTTATTGTCAAATATAAGGCTAGACAGAGACTTATTACTAAAGTTTCTCTGATGTCCTAATAGCAACACCATTACAATACTTGATTGCTAAATGCAAGCTGTTGAAAGGCGATGAAAATCACAGTTAAAAATAAAAAATGCTTGCAACAAAATCTGACCTTTTGTTTCTTCAATGTTTCGAACTGGTTGACCAGATCATCGTAATCAGCCTGCAATGTGCTCTTTTCTTTGTCAGTCCTATATGCAAGATTTGCAAATAATGCTTAATAAAGAAGGTTTAATTAAGAAAGGTTTAATTAAGAGATGAAAGGTTTATCGCTGTTATGAGAACGAAAAGGAGAAAAACATGACAGATGATCTGATATCTCGATGAGCATCAATTTTCAATTATTTGTCCGAAAAGCCGACTAGATTATATGTCCGATTAGTTTTCGGTTGCCCTGCTTCACCGAAAATAAATCCCACAGAAATGTTTGGTACTAAATGCATTTCTTTGGATGTTTCAAGCGAATCTTGTTATTTGAGCCAATATTTGAGCTTGTGTCTCATCGCCGTTGAGAAATATCTGCGAGTTTACTACATCAAACATCATCAAAAAACGATCTCATACTTGGCCTTGGCCTTCTTGAATTGATCGAGCTCATCCTGGGCTTCTTGGATTTGTGCATTCAGCTTCTGGCGGGTCTGTTGCAAGACTTGCTCTGAGGCCTGGTTTGCATCTTCCATGTCCTTTCTCATTTTGGAAATCTCTTGTTCGCGCTTCTTGTTAAGCTCGACCTACGAATAGAAATAAATGGACAGTAAGTAAATTAATCGATAAACTGAATAATCTTTGGTATGAGACTATAATGAAATTTTATTCCATTATACCATGAAATAAACCGCAAAAGTTGTTTAGCCTCTGCTTTCTGCAAATAGTAGATTCATAAAATGGGTACATTGTAAACAATGACGCCTAGATATTTTAATAAAGAGCCACGTATTAAACTAAATGCCACGCCTGGAATGATAACATCTCTCTATTTACAAAGCCAAGAAAAGTAGCATTTGGACTACTAAAAGCCCTTTTTTCAAAATCTATAACAATTCAGTTCAGTTCAGTTTTCATAATTTACATTCTCCACATACAATTTATCATAACAAATAGGATTCCGATTCAAACATTCAAAGGTGAGCAAAAATATGTGTCCTTTTCTCTTCCATGCAACTATCTTAGAAATCATAAAGGCAGCGTACCTGAGCTGTTGTGGCTCCACCTTGCTCCTCAAGTCTGTCTCTCAAGCTCTCCAATTCAGCTTCAAGCTCAGCACGAGCTCTTTCGGCCTATACAAATAAATAAAAACTTTATATAAATGAGGGATCTAAGAATACTTTATAAAAGAAAACTAAACATAGGCAGCTTAGACATCAAATATCGGTAATATAATCTAATGATGTAATATAAAAGATGGTATTCTTTGACGACGTACCTTCTGTCGAGCCTTGCGTTCGTTTTCAAGCTCTTCCTCGAGTTCTTCGATGCGACGCTAAAAATCAAAACATTATTCATTAAAACTATGTACGAAATCGTTGCGGAATTGGGACAGAAGAAGGTTTCATAAAGCCATTTATTCTACTTTAGCATCATCTGACTATCATCGAGAAGGAAATAGTATTGCTTTGTAGATAAAATATATTTGAAAAGCCATAGTTGAGCGGAAAAGAAATCAGTTTGAAGAAAGATGGTGAAATCAGAGTAGAAGGCCATGTTGAATTACCAAAAGCTCTTGGATCTTCTTTGCATGATTGCTGATTGTTCGCTGATCTTGTTCAGTTGCCGCGGTCATTTCATTAATGGTCTTGTCTCGCCTAGGGAGTGATTATTCATCATTCGTCAATTATTCATCAAAATTTCGGTAGAGGACAACGTTGGCTTGTTATGGGCAACATATTTCTATAAAAATAAAAACCAAAAATATTACACTTACTTTGAAAGCTTGTCTTCTACTTCGCGTTTGGCCTGGAGGGTTTCCGACAAAGTTTCCTGGGTGCTCTGAAAGAAGAAAAAAGCCATATTACCATACCAGATGATATAAAATCAAGACAATCTGCTTTTATTGTCAGTAGCCACGAAAATTCAATATCGTAAACATTATTTTCGGCTAATTATATTGTAGAAGGTGAAGAATTTTTGTTAAAAGCTTACAACAGGGTCGCTATCTATCTTTGATTAACAAAGTTTTCAACCCCATTCATTTCGCATAATAGTTATACAATACCTGGAAGAACTCACCTTCAAATCTCCTTCCACCTTTCTCTTCTCCTTATCAACTTTACTCCTGGCGTCTTTCTCCTTCTGTAAGCTTATTTCGAGCTAAGTGAGTGAAAAAATGAATAAGTAACATTGTGAAGATCAAATAGGTAAATTGTATCACAACGGAAGCAGCATAAACGCAAAGGCTTAGACAGCGTTGGCATTAAAAACATCGTTCCATTTTATACGTTTTAACACCGCTATTAAAAACAAATTTGATTATAATGTTGACAACAAATTGGATTGCTAATTATCATCACATTTGCTCTTGCTGACAAAAATCTAAAATCACCATTTCTAATCAAGCAAGGAAAACTTGAATGAACTTCATATCTTGTTTGACTTCAACTCTAAATTTTGAAAGACGATCTTTACTGGCTCTGATAACATTTGAAACAAGCAAAAAGAAGTAAAAGCAGTAAACGAGCTTAGTGTTTAGAAGCAAGCTTACATCGGCCACATTTTCTTCCAACTTCTTCTTTGTCTTTGTCAAATGATTGCATTTATCTTCTGCACTCTGAGTTGCATTGATCTGCTCTGAAAGAGAATCTTCCAGGTTCTTCTTTTCTTTGCTAAGCTTTGCAACAGCTTCGTCCTGCCTACTTAGGTCTTCGGTCAGTGTTTCAATCTGTTTGTCGCGGTTAGCCTTCTCTTTCTCGAGCTAACAAAAGAACAATACCAATTTTCAAAACAATTCAATTCACCCGAGTGTATTTCTTTGGCATGATTTGACGATGTTCATCGGCGTGTGATCAGAGGCATATTAGAGTCTATCGACAGGCGATAAGGAAATATTCCTAGATCTTGTAAGCTCGTAGTTAAAGTTAGTATAAATTAAAACTTTTAGCATAGGAAGGAATACGATAAAAGGAGGTAAATCGATAAATTATATGGGATGGAAAAACTTAGCTTTTGAAAGGTTTTTTTAATTTAACGTTGGTGAAACTGCTTTTAGCCTTAAAGTACACCAATTTTAAAGGTTTGTCCTTAAAAGAAGATCAACTTCCCACCCACTCCTTCCCAAAAGACAAATAGTAAAGAAACCTTAGCAATAGATTGAGTATTTTCTTCAATCTTGTCTTGCAATTCGTCTCGTAGAGTCTCAAGTGATTTCTTGTCTTCTTCGAGACGTGTGGTAGCGCCCTCTTCATCTTCCAAGCGCTCCAGTGCTTCCTTTAAAGGCAAAAAATGCAAACGCCGTTAACACACATTAACAAAGTCTCAGAAAGAACTTTGTTAGCAAGCAAAATAAGCAAAGTGTTCTGCCTTAGATGGTCACAACCAACGGTCAGTTGCTGTCAAATCATTTGAAACAAAAACCTGATTCATCTCTTAGTCATAATCGGATGTTTCATGAGCTGAAGAGCGTCGAATGAAAAGTGATGCAGTACGTTGCAAAATCTTTTCGTGCCATCTTTATGATTCGCAGCACGAAGGACCTATTTCATCGTTTTCTATTGAAATGAAACTCTCTAATTTCTCTTCTGATATATAAACCTGAATGTCACAAACTTAGATAATTTTGCCCATAGTGGTTTCAACCTTAGGGGTACATATCTCAAAATCAACAATTTGATTGACATACGGTAAGCTGGGTCTCAAGCTTGTCTCTGTCAACTTGCAAAACCATGATCCTCTCTTCAGCACCAACAAGTCTCTCGGATTCCTAGAAAATTAAAACGATCAATGAATATCAACAACAGAAGAAAATCAAGAAGTATCACCAGTCCAAAATTATATTCTTCTGTTAACATAGGCAGTGAAACATTCCTTACTATTGGATTCTTGATGATAGATTTTCTAGTTTTACAACTTTCACAAACTAAACGCAATCCTAGAAATCACATTGAATTTGTAACTCAATCAAATTTAACAGCTTATGCTTATATCAGGATACGTCTCCTTTTTTGGACAATCTCTGGTGGTATATATAAACGGTTTTTAAAGCATATAAAGCCCAGCCATGTGCTTACCTTCTGCAAATCTTCGAACAGTTTTGTCTTCTCCTCCATTGTCTCTGTGAGTTTCTCTTGCAATTCTTTTCTTTCTTTCTCCTCCTTTTCGGCCTTTTCCATGGCTTTTTTAAGCTAAAACAGCAAATGTGATTTAGAACGAATTTTCAAAAACTTTCTGTCATATTATAGAAGGATGAATATTCTATTCCAGAACTTTAGGCCCGCATCATATGAAAATACAAAATACAATGGAAATATTTTTCCTTGTCGAAACTGATACGATACATGCATTCAAATTACAGAAGATTTCTTGTATTAATAAAAAAGTGATAAATTGTAGGCCAACATAAGTATAAGTCAAAAACTTTATTGTACTTCCGCGGAGAATCTTAGCAGGTAGAGAATCCAGAGTTAGTATAAGACTCGATCTTACCTCTTCTTCCCTCTCTTTCATTTCCTCTTCTGCACGTGCAACATTCAGCAATGGCTTCACCTGTAGTCACAATAAAAATGTTAAACTTTCAATTACATGGTCAATATGCTTAAGTTCGTAATCACGCTATTGGACAAGGGATAGCAAACTAAACGGCCATTTCTTTATTCCCTTTATGTGTGCAAGATGCCTTTCCAATGGAAGCGTTCGCATAATGCGAAATGGCACCATGCACTTGAGCATCTTCTATAACGTTATGATTACGGAGTTTCCTAGTTTGCAGTCGGGGAAAGCTGACCCTTTAGTAAGCAAGAAGGGGAATTGCCCTGACCATCTTTGAAAGTACGTCCCAAGTTTGGTAAAAACATAAGATACACGCATGACACACGCAGAGCACGCGAAAGACACGCAGCAGACACTCCAGTGCATTGCAGGGATCACTCAGCACACAGTGCACGCACAACTTACTTTATTGAACAACGTCCACCAAGACCAGTTTCTCAAGAAAAGGAATTTGCGCACATTTCGTTGAATAACAGCAAGACCCATTCTGCGGATGGGATGAAAATTAGACATTAAGCACTTACTCGGTTAAAGATTTGCCACCAAGACCAGTCTTTCAAAGACAGGAATTTCCTGACATTTCGCTGAATAACAGCGATTCCAATTCTAAGAAGATAATTGTACGCATGTTCATATTAAATGTAAACATTGTATGAATTGCGAAAGAAGTTTTTGGTGTTGAGGGATGTAAACAAGGCTTCATTCCAACTGCGAGGAAAATTAGAAGTTCTACAGTGCCTGAGACGTTCTAAGACGCCTTACACTGGCTTTATTGTGACAATAAGTCAATTTCCATAATGGATTACAAAATTTAAGCTCCTTCTTTCAGGTCCATTTAATTGAGCTGCATAAGTTCAGTTAATGTTAAACAGTTAACCAAGACGTGCCTCGTCTATTCATATAGTTATAAACAGAATCAAAAGTTCATCATGTTTTTAGTGGTTGTACTAAGCTCATTAAGAGGTCCAGATGCCCTTCCTATTTCATTAGAACTGACTTGATGATGGCATGTTAAAGAATGTCATACGACAATATATATCTTATGCCTCTAACTTGCTAACTGTAAGAAGCCTTGCCCCAAAACATTTACATTTTTAGACGAAAATTTCAAAACTTGTCTTTTTTACGTTGCTTTATGAAAGCACTGAGTGATTCCTCAGAATCCCCCTGCATATTTACAATCACGCCAAAGTTACACACTTTGAAGGAAATGCATATGGATGTATTATAAAGCAAATTCATATTTTCATTCTGTTAAATAAAAGGCGAAAGGGAAGTTGGATAAGAGGATAACTCTTTGAGATTAGGCTCAGTACGATAAGTAGCTTTGTCAACTATAGAGTATGAAGATGGGCGTAGAAATAATTAGTTGGAAAGGGCACTTTAGAATAGGACCAAATATAATCGAACAGTCGAACATAAGTCTTCATAGTAGTGAACTATAGCATCAAAATAAACGGGACTTGAACATGTGTTTAAAAGTAAACGGTACCTCTGATCGCACATCTTCTTGTACTCTTTGCGCATAAGAAAACCTTTGCAGTAGGCCTGGAATTGAGCAATGATCTTAGACAGCCGTTCGTCACGCATGTCCTCAAGCTCACCAACAATACCTGCCTTGAAGAAGACTTTAGTTGCACCGACTCTGTACTCGGATTGTTCAAGTTGCAAGGACTCGATAAGTTTCTCGGCAGCGACCTTACCGTCAATGAAACCAGCTGGGATGGCGTTTGGAGCCAAAATCTTGTACCTATAAAGTTAGCAAAAGTTTTTTCTATCAAAGCCAAAACAACTTTATGAAAGCTGAAATAACGGGGAGGAATTGGGGAATTTGAACGGTATTTGAATCAAAAATTTAGATAAACACTTCTGAATTTCAGTTGAACAATTTCCATTTTTATGGGTGAACAGGCTATGCCAGTTAAAGTCATATAATTTCGAGGAAGAAAGAGTTTAGGGCCAGAAAGAGTTTAGCATTAATCTGGCCAATGCACCAGCACATTCAGCACCTCCCTCAAAAGAACAATAAAGACAGTTCATAGCTTGGGTGTGATACACGAAATCATTTTGTTTTAAATGACCTTCCTCCGTTCATTGGCCGTGTTATCGCCACTCTTTCTGGGCATTGGATGTTAAACGGTTGATCGTTGCAAATAGGAACCACTTTTGCCTGTCTAAGTAAGAAACTTACCTCATTCTGAAGTCCTGGAACAACATTCTGCTTGGGAAACCTTTACGGCAAATACGAATACCCTCAAGCACACCGTTACATCTAAGCTGGTGCAATACAAGGTGGGCTTCAATTAGACCTGGTTTCTTCTGCTCATTGGGGATAATGCAACGTACGAAATGTGGGTACGTGTGGCCCAAAGTTGTCAATAGATTGTGCAGTTGTTCCTGAAAAATTTAATAGACACAGATCGAAAACAACATTAACACAAGGAAACGTGTTTTCATGTAGATATTTGAAATAAAAGGAAGATCCGAAAGATATCAAAGATAGAAAACATACCTTGTGCCTGCTGCTGACAGTTTGGAAAGCAGATCCCTTACGCCTTCCGCCAGTAACTAAAAAAAGACGATTCAGTCAAATCTATAACTTTTTTATACCAAAACAGTGTTCAGTATCTAAGTTGATGATTTGAAGTGGCTAGAAAATAACGTCCATTTATCACATAAAAACAAAACTGTAAAAAATGTAGATGTATAGGATATCTCTAACAACGAATAGCTTAATTAGTCAGCACAGGGAGGTTAGCTAAGAACCTACCATCTGGGTTGTAATCTTGGAAAATTTGAGCCAGTAGTGCATTGGTAGCCTTGGCATACAGTGCTGCGCAAGTTTCATTGATGGGATCCTTGTTCTTCTGGAGCCAGTTCTTGACACTGTATGGGACGGAGCCGGCGTAATGATGCAACAAAAAGTCAGCCTTCGCCTTTTCTTTGACGCTTGGCTTTCCGTAACTTGGATGCTTGCCATCGTGGGTCTTGTGGAGCTTGGCAAGGAAGGTCTCGTCAGTTGCTTTTGGGACGATGCATTCCTCCTCAAGAATGGCGAAAATTCCCATTGGCTAAAGAAAGTGATAACAATAAAGCAGTTAGATAACGCACATTACGTATATAACAAAGCTGCTCAATGTGGCAGAATTCTGTAGTCAATACCCAATAAAGGGAACTAATTGGGAGAATTCAATCTGTTTAATATGTAACACATTATAATACTGTTATATTCGTGAAAGTGTTTCTCACCTTCTCAATCAAGGCAATTGTACCTTCCAGATCAAGACCAAAATCAATGAATTCCCATTCAATTCCTTCTTTCTTGTATTCTTCTTGCTCAAGGACGAACATGTGATGGTTGAAAAACTGCTGCAATTTCTCATTTGTCAAGTTGATGCACAATTGTTCGAAGGTGTTGTACTATTGAAGGAAAAATACAAATTTCCGTTTCATTCTAGATTTCAAAGCGTGACTCGTGTTATTCTAGATGAAAGAAAAAACCTGCTTGGTTGCTTCTATAAACATTTATAAGAACATAGGTTAGAACATTAACCAAATGCTTGTAAATGGAAGAAATGCCAGTATACTAAAGTGAAAAAGCAATTACGCGCTAGAGAAAAGGTACAAAGTTATAGTTATTAGAAGTAGTAAAAATTCATTACATAGGACATTTTCGCTTTGACAATGCAATAAGAATTAACAAGAGGTTTCTGAAATTGCTTTACCAGTGACATTGCTGCACACATTTAAGTATCTCAGTGTACACTAGAGTGATATAGATTGCATCAAATGACAGTAAAAGTTGAAGCTGCTTACGTCGAAAATCTCGAATCCTGCAATATCGAGCACACCGATGAAGTATGATCTCCTTTCCTTTGTGTCCAAGGCTTTGTTGACACGTGCGACCAACCACCAGAACATCCTTTCGTACATGGCTTTAGACAATGCGGCTATGGCATAGGTTACTTGGTCCATGTTCTGGCCTTTGTGCACCATTTCGGTTCCGACTTTTACCTTTGGTTTTGTCAGGCCTTTGTGGAACTCAGTCACTGGGATTCCAAGCAAGAACCCTACTTTTTCACCATCTGTTAAAGGAAGGTTAATGGTCGTTATATGTTAAAGTGGTACATCTAACGATAAAATACACATGTCTTAAGAAAGACGAATCCTTACGCTGAAACAAAAGCATGGTAAATTTTGCTATATGAAAAATTAACAGGTAGATTTTTACCAGCGGGATCGGCAACCTCAGCTTGCTCTTCTCTTGGCCTTTGCTTCAACTTGATGTTACTCATATGAAGAATGGCAGTACAGATTTTGTACATACTCAATTTCTCTTCTTCATTGAAACCCAAGACTCTGGCAGCGTTCTGAAAAAGAGGTATTGATAATTAAGGTTCCAACATCCAATTTCAAACTTTCTACGGGACAATTTTTACGGGACAAGACCGACTACGGGACAACTTTTAAAAACCAAACTTTGATACGATACACATACTTTCGAATGGGGTTCTTAGCTGGTTTTGATAGCAGGGTTTAAAGCTTGGCCGTCATGGGATTAGATCACAGCAACAGATAAAGACAACCGAGATGAGCTAGACATCACCACCATCTCCCTAAACATGCTATTACCAGTTATGCATATTGCCAATGGTAACGAGTTTTGACAGAATCAAGCAATAGTCATATTTAGGCAACTTCATACCAATATCGAGTTGAAAAAAACAATAACTAGAAACACACTTAAAATTTATTCTTAGAATATAATAAGATCACGTTTGTCTTATAACATACAGGATCTTATCAAATCATTTGCTCAAAACACCACTGGCCGGAAAAAAGTGCCAATCAATATTTATTCATAAAGAAGAGTAGTAGTTTTGGGAAGTATGGTAGTTAAGGCTTATCTACCTCTGTATATTGGAACTCTTCGTGATCATCAATGCCATCAACATGGTAGCAACCTTTAACAAGGAAGTTGTACTCTTTGGCCTCTCTTGAGGGCAACAGAAGCTTTTCTAAAATAAAACAGATTTCCAAGTTTAGGATAATCATAGTAGGAAGTTAATTAACAATGAAAAAAATCCATAGAACAACGGGATTTGCTTTACCATGAACAAATTGCCATCTAGAATATGCGAAAAGTTTCACTGAGATGGTACATAACTCTGGCCGGAGGAAGACTTAAGTGACATTCTACAGGGTTAATAAACCTAGTTAGTAATCATGACCAACCAATCTTAAATCAATTATTGAATGGTATGAGGTGATACGTAAAAAATAAGCGTATAAGATTAACGAAGAAATGAAGCTGTAATATAGTGAAACAGTGAAGATAAAAAGGATATTTTTACTGTAGAAAGAATGTTAAGGGTTAAATGCAATACCTTGATATTCATTTGATGAGGCATAAAGAAGTTGGTAGAAAATGTGGTAGTTCCTTTCATTGGACATCTGATGCACAACACGTGACTTCTCGAGCAAGTCTACAAGAGGCAATTGATGATTTAAATAAAATACACATATATATCGTTTAAATATAAGATAAAATGCTACAGACCAAGCCGCGAATTACAAAGATTTCTTACAGGTATTAACATAAAATTTCACTGGCAGAAATATATTAAGAGTCTGTTATAAGATGACAAATGGCTCCAAAACAAATGGAACATTTGAGCATAATAAAATGACCATGAGGCAAAAACTCACATGACTCGATATCAGCACCGGCCAATTTACCAGTCTGACTGAAGTGGCAACGGATAAATTTACCCTGAATAAGGATTTAAAAAAGATATTTCGTCAGCACAGTTTTAATTGAAACTAGAAGACATCGAAATTCAAATAATCGATCAATGCATAATAGGTCTCAACGACAAAGCTTTAATTCTTTAGTGAACATCAATAGATGAAAATACACAATCAAAGAAAAGAAATCAATATTGTAGTGATAAATGATATATTAAAAAAGTTAAAATAGCATAATTGATAAAAGTCGTAAAGCTTACAAATCGAGAAGAGTTGTTGTTCCTGATGGTTTTTGCGTTACCATATGCTTCCAGGATAGGGTTAGCTTCAACTACTTGTTCATCCAAAGTTCCACCCATCATATTCTTCTTTTCGGCAGGCTCTTCCTACAAGATTTAAATGAAAGTGCACATCTGATTTTGCAAAGAAAAAACTTTCACAGCACCATAAAGATATACTGCTCTGCAAATTGCAAAGAAGATGCATGGTTTACGTACATGCCAAAGCGGCATTAAAATAGATGCAAGAGACAAATTCACATTTCTTGCAACTAAAAATGCGAAAATGTAAAGATGGCGTTCAAAATGAAAAAGGACGTTACCTTTGATTTCTTTTCAACACCGGCGACTTTTGCGAGGTACTGGATGACCTTTTTGGTGTTTTCAGTCTTTCCTGCACCAGACTCTCCTCTGAAAATTGGAAAGGAAAGTAACTCTTAAAAGTAACTCTGTAAATTTTGAATTCCTGAATTTAAGAAAAACACTAGAATATTTGAACCTTAAAACAGAGCTTAAAAGCACACTAACCCAGGCCATGTTTCAGTTATTACCTCGTAACTCAATAAGGTTTTAAGAACAAAGAATTATTTTTATAGGGTCATTTATAAGTGTAGCTGTTGTTCAATTGTTTATATGTTTAGAGATTTGTCGTCCAAGACCCCTCCCCCCTCCCTCAGTAGGCAAGAAGCCTATCGCAATTGGAACAAAAGGATTGTCACAACCCACGCCCTCATAGCTACAGCCGTGATGCCAAATGATATAAAATTACTTACGTGATCAAAAGCGACTGGTTTTCGTGGTCAATCAACATGTCTTGATAGGCGTTGTCAACAATGGCGAAAACGTGTGGTGGCACTTCAGCCCTTCTCTTGCCTCTGTAGTAGTTGATGACGTCATCTGTGTAGATTGGCAGCCTTCTGTACGGGTTGATTGTTACGCAGAAAAGGCCGGAGTATGTCTATTGAAGAGAGCAGCAATGAAAAGTTTATGGCAGGCTGGTGCTTAGATTAGCAGATAACAACCGTCTAACGTTTTTAGCAGATAACAACGATTCGACATCAAATGTTCTTGATTATAATAGTAACACTAGACCAAAGGTCCATTTGGGGTTCTTCCCAAAAAGTGGCTGCTTAAGGGGAAGAAAGGGGGCAATGGCCTACGCAATTTTCAGAAAGTTTCAAGTTAATTCAATGGGGAAATTTAAGCTCTGATTGCAATTTATTCAGATCTGTTGTAAATGATAATTTTTAGCCAAACTTTTATCACCCCCCCCCCCCTCCCACTAGTTTTGAAGTGCAATAGGCGGTCTCTGTCCGAATCAGGTTCCATACTTTTGCTAAAGAAATATGAAGGCTCTGCTGTTGTGTTTATGATGAGTTCATTTCCACCAATCTGTGACAATTTTTCGACATGGCGATTCAAATTATCCTGAATGAGAAGAATTCCTTTCATAAAAAAACTGGTAAAAGGCGCCCTCATGGCTCAAACCTGCGGTGGATTTATTGCAGAAACAAACTTGATCTGGCTTTGGGTTTAGTGGAACAACAGTATAAAACGAACGAGAACAAACACTGGCTTGGACCGGAGGCTTTAAGCCAACGCGCTTTCTTTAATTCCTTGTTCAGTGAATTAAATCTCATTCAGTATATTTGTTTGTTACTAAACAAGGACGGACTAAAATTCTTCTACAGAATTGGCTTCAGCTTTCAGGGTTAATCAAAGGTCAAGTTAGGTAGAAAATATGAATAAACTGACGATTAAGGAATTTGTAGATTTGTAAAGATTATAAATGTGAGTATACACTGTAGTGTACTTAAAACAGCAGGAGTTTGTTGTGCTGTAGTTTGGAACTGCTCGCCAAACGCAAACTCTCACATGGTTCTTAAAAAACATCCCCAAGACTGCTTTGATGCAGACACAACTTAGTATTCATAAACCTTGAACCCTGTTTTAAGATTTTTATGATGTTACCACGCCCAGTTGCGGCGCCAAGGGGGTAGGGGATATCCATCTTCTCCCTAGTCAAGAAGGTCATGAAGTTGACATGATAATTACAGTTCAATTTTCTTTTTAACAAAGTATGTTTTTGCGGAATTCTGAAAATGATAATGGCTACATACATTTTCTTTTGAATGTTCTGCTCTGTTTTGAATGCATTTTCAAATTATGCTTATACAAAGAACTATATAAAGAACCAAAAATCGCTCGAGTGACAAATTCGCTTCACAAATGGGTACCAGCCTAATTTGTTTATCTTCCAGAGTATCCATAAGATGCTATTTCTGCAGACTATTGATTTCAAATTACCAAATGCTATCACTGCTCTTTGTCTCATTGAACAACCTTGATGTATTTCAAACAATGCATCGTTAATATCAATTATTCTCCAAACAGAAAACATTGAAATGAACTGATAACGATTTTGTTTTCTTGCTAACGGGAATTCGTTACAACAACTAGGATTCGGTCCGAGATGCAATCCCATCTTGTTTTAAAGAGAACAATAAAACTCCAGATGTTTTGCTACCATTCTTCTTGTAACGTTTTTGCATGGACGAATTCTCTGCATGAGTGCAAGCTCTTCGCTTCCCTATTAGGAGATCTTGAGAACACAACTCTTTTGAAATAGGACATAATTTGAAAATATCAGGGCGTAATCTTCAAATCCGTTTAAACGCACCAAAGCGTTCTTTGGTGAATAGAACTGCCGGCGGTCTCCCCTTCAAGATTTTAGGTCTCCTCGCATCTCACACCTGTTTCGTTTTTATCGTTTTCAGCTTGGTCTTTTTAAATAAATTTCTACCCTGGCATCAATGCAATGATCAAAAGCGAGTAGATAGCAAAATCAATGACATTTGGCATGCAGATTCATAACAATTTCGATACCCCGCTTTGCATGAACAATTACCTCCTAAGCAATGGTCTGGAAAATGCTAGCCTCATTGAGCCAATGGGCGTGGCAAATCTTTCCTCTGTTCGCCCCTGTCTTTTGAAAGCAGGCCTTTTCGGTGAAGCATTACAAAAAGGAGCATCTTTGTGGGGGCAGTTTTATACCCCCATATACATAAAATCTAATTTAATGTTATATACATGATAACCCTTAGATTTTGTATGTTATTGCGGCGATTACAGATGAACATAGCTCCTGGGGCCATACATTTAAGGAACAGATGATAAGACACACACTTAACCTTTATTTTGAGAAGACGAACCTTATGCCTAGAAGTATACGTTTTCAATTGTTTCTATTGATATCCATGAAAAGTGGCTGGCTGTACAATAACTCGCATTATTTGTAAACAAACAATCAAGTACAATGCCTCCAAAATAACTACCAAGGTAAATATTTTGGAAACTTTAAATAGTCTGGTGAATGTTACAAGTCTTCAAAGTGGTTCACCCGAAGCCTAAAATTCATATAATACTGTTACGAATTTGAAGCAGAAAACTTCGACGGTAATTTAGATAATTGTTGCTTTCTTAAGAGACAATTTTTTACATCGATAAAACACTTACGTAGATCATTGCAGCTGTATATCTGGCCTTCAAGTTGTACAAGACGCTAGCTTCGTTTAGATAGGTCAGTGCTGCCATATCTTCTGTCTTTTCGAATTTTGGGGGATTCATTTGTTGGATGTCATCTTTCTTGACAGTATAGCTCTGAAACGGTAGATTGAATTAGCTTAACTGTAGAACTTTACTTTTAAAAGGTCCATAGTATGGCAATCAACGAATACTTCTTAGACATGGTGAATTTAGCTTGAATTATTCTTGAATATATGTTTAAGATTAAAAAAAGGACATGTCCTCTACCTTTCCATCCTGAGTCTCAACTTCGCATTTCTCCCCGGTGGTCGATTTGACTACGGCAGGAATAAAGCCTTCAATTCCCTTCTTTTCTTGTTCTGGAATCCAAATCCATTTCTTTGCATCGAAAGTTTTAGTTTGGTCTTGCAGCTGTTGTGCTTGCGATTGCCGCAAGTATTGCATTCCCTCGAAATCTGCACCGTCTTTCGTATCCATAGTTGCTTAGTTTGCAACAACAATTAGATTTCTAGCCTTTGATTTCTCTCCCTTTTTGCTCAAGCTTCCTAAACACAACACAAGTAAGCTTGGCTTGCCCTAAGAACCGATCAACACAGGAGAGGACAGCCCTGAGCACCGATCAAATGAGCAACCACCTCCCTTGAGTATCCTCAATTATTTTATATTATGATTCTACAACAGTTACTTAGAATATGAATAGAACTCCGCCTATTAGAACATTCGACCAATCAGAACACGCCATCCCATTCGATGATGGGCAGGGCGATTGCCTTGCTGAAGAACATGAAGCCATAAGGTGCCAAAATTGCCAGTTTGGCTTCCACTTTTCCAGAGAAACAGAGTAAGATTGCTAAAATATAGCTCTTGAAAGAACTAGCAAGTCTTTGCGAAGACGTTGGAGCTTATAGTGTTCAAATATCGACAACACAGACCTGGAAAATTCAAACAATATTTGAGAAAATGGAGGGCCGGACGCGTTTCCCAACACATATGGAATCCCCAAAGAGCAATCATTTCGCGCTTAGAAACAATCAGGGGATAAGAGACAATAGGACAAAGAGCTTGAGCATATTTGTATAGGGCCTTCAATAAGCTTTTCTCAAAAGGCTCTTTTGAGCTAGGAGTCAACATTTGCTGTCTATGGAAGTTTTAGAAACATAGGTAGAGTCGAGTAAAGGTCGTCGAACCGAAGTTTACCAACGTACATTTGAGACAAAATGGTTTTTCGCCTTGAGTTACCGTTGATTCAGTTTTTATGAGACTTTTTCCAGACTTGCTGCTCGGCGGCGGAATTTCGCTTCCAACACAGTAAAACAAAGAAGGACATAATAGGATTATTACTTGATCTTTAGTTCAATTGAAGAACAACAATATGCATTGTTATGAAAAGGGTTGTTGAAGTCAAACACTCTGGGTCCTTAGCCATTGAAAGCAAAGCGTTTTATCCCTAGGAATCACCATCACTTCTCCATTGCAATAACCTGTATTGCATTTTTACAGCAAATTTTTACTATTAGTTGCAGAGGGTCAGGATTGTTATATCGCTTCTAGTTAAAGTCACAGAAAAATAAAACGAATAAAAGATCAAGGCTGAGACAGTTTTCAATCATTATTTCAGCCTGGCTTGATTGTTTCAAAATACTTTCTGCAAAACTGCCTATGCATACCAAATAAGGTCATCAGTTGTTCTAAGCAATATGCTCTTTTCATTGAGATCTCTTTTTCAAGGAACGCAGTAGGAACCGGCTAATCAGTGTTGGCCATCACCTTGTAAACATCAACTTAGCGTTCCTAAACAGCTTTAATCTCCAGAAACAGCCATAGATCGCAAGGAATTTCTAACATTTACAATCCAGAATGGCATAGTGAAAATGGCGAGTGCTGGAAAATATAGGAAGGCCATGGATCGTGTTTTACGATTTTATTATTTGCTAGGGTTATTTTGGATTAAAGCACAATCAAAAGAGAGTATTGAGAATAAATTTTAGCACAGTTTGATTACTCATAACTTTGTAAATTAATGGCGTTTGCTTCCAATGAAGTTCCTGTGATAGGCCTAGCAGATATCTATAAATAGTCAGTTTATCATTGGACTTGAGTCAACGGTGTCAATTATACATCTTCATGTTAGCTAAACGTGGATCATAGAATTTGACACCTTGTTTATTTTTTTCATCTCTTTTAATGTAAAGAGGGTTGCCCTTCACCCGGGCTGATTTACAAGGGTCCCTTTTTTTAAAAACTCCAAGTGCAGTCAAACATATAAAGATTGAATTGAATGCAATATTAAGTGAGTAAAAATTGTTAAAATCTTACTGCAGAATTGATAATTCTAAAACGAATTTTAAAAGAAAGGAAAAGCGAATTACAAATTCCACATTTTACCACCTCGACAAGAAAAACATCTTTACCCGTTAAATCCCCCCCCCCTTACATGTCTCTTTCCTGGCAAATTCCAAATCTATCCCAATATTGCGCAGGGCAACAAAGAGCTCTTGGAGTTTCGGGTGAAGAGGCCACAGAGGTATGGTGGAGTGTCCAGAAACGTCCTGTGAAATTGATAACATGAAGAATATACTTTGTGCCAAGCACTAAACCACATTTTTCTGTCAAAAGGACATAAACAATGAAAAAGCTAGCATATCAAAATTTGTTGATCGCCGTAACAGTTTGAAAGTATTCACAAAGCAAAGAGACTGTAAACGGCTGACCCCATGGAAGATATTTGTAAAATATCTTCCATGTCTTACGAAATTTCCTACAATGTAAAGCTGCTTCTAAGAAATTTTGTTTACAAGAAAATAATACTTGGTTATAAACTACAGCAAATACTAGAATAGATCGTTGTACCCTTTGAAATTCATGTAGTGGCTACTTGATGGAAGACGAGCTTAAATTAGTTATGGCAGAAACGGGATGAAAGAAATTCTTTTTTTACAATGAAAGTAAAATATTTCGTACCATAACACCAAACATCCAAATATTCTCATACCCCCAGCTTGACTTGAAAGGTGCCAAACCTGCACCAGAAATCAACTATGGCTACACAAAACCAACAATATGTGATCTAATTCTTCTTTATGGGGAATCATCACTTATTGCACCATTTGCAAAGAAAAGTAAAACATCTTTAAACTTGGCCGATAGATTTGAAACTATTATGCAGCATATTTTTTAAAAATGAATGTTTGATATTATTTACATTTCACCATTTTTCTAAATCTTCACAATTTGGATTGAAACTAGTTGCAAAAGATTTGACAGAACGTGGTAAAAGCTATTCAACATAAGGTACTTTACAAGGGAGACATGATTTCTTGTAAAAATAACGATAGCTGATCTTTTCTGCAGACATTGAATTTGCATGTGGGTTAGCTTCAACCGGCCATGGTTAGTAACCAACTCTATCTTTATTCAAGCCCTGTCTTTGTTTTGGGAGTTTCTGGTGACAAAGGTGGGATTGGATACTGTCGATGTCTTGTTATTGTTTGTTTCCCTATAGTATCATCCGTAGATTGCTGGCTCGTTTAGATTTCTAATAAATTCTCTATTTCAATTCATCATTGTTTGATCTTTTATGAATTTTTAATACTCTATAAATATCCTTTAAAATTTTAAGTAACAAATGGCAATTAACTGTATTTCTTGACCCATTCTTGTTTAAATGTTCAATGGCTCTTTGATGAATGCAGCTCGTCGTGGGAGGGGAGGGGGGTAGGGGGTTCCTTAAGATGTTTGAAGGTACGCGGACGTGCCATTGTTTAAGGGTACCTTTTTCTGGTAAGTGCGGAGTTATCGGTATCAGTTTTAGAAATATTTGCGGAACTATAAGTACAGTTTAAAGAAACAAGCAGAATTATGGTTACCATTTTGAGAAAATTTTACAAAATCATTTGGAGGGAGGTTAAGCATTGACAAAATTAAGGTCCAGTTAGAAATAAATTATGAGAAATAATCAAAGTGGCACGCCACCTCCAAAATTAGATTTAGTTCCCCCCTTCCCCCCTCTGAGAGCAGCAGTCGTCGCTTCGAAAGACACTGAAATCAGAAATTGGCAAATATTTTTTAGCTGGACACCCAACAGACGAATTGAGAAAACTATCCCACTTTCGCTGGAGCTTTTCATTTTTCATGTTACAGTTTTAAACAGGTTACAGTTTTAAAAATCTATGAAATAGCAGTGCGATATAAAAAAGTTTGGAAACATTTGATCTCTTAGAACAGAGGAAAATCTGTCATTGGAATTATCGGAATACAGATAATTTGTGAATTCCTGGCCTGCAAAAACAGGTTTTAATGGGCTTGTCAGAGATGAGCCATCGCATTCTAAAAGCTTAAGTGATTGGACATTTTTCGCAAAGATGGTAGAAAATTTAGCTTTGTTCGGAAGTCAACAGGTGTAAAGTGATCATTTTCGTTTTTCTTAGCCCTATATGAGCTTCGCAAAAATATAAAAACATCGCAGAGCTCGGTGGGAATTGTTGAAAGGTTTCTTAAATACGGCTTATACGTTCTTGTCGCGCAAAGGCCAGTAAGGACTAGAATAGATGCCTAAAGCATACTCTAACTATCTGGTGTGTATTCGATTACAAACTGTGTCATTATACTTAAACGTTGCTGTTGCACCCACACGAAACGGAATAAACTAAAATCTGATCAAAAACTGTAAAGCAAGAGAAAGAATTATGTGCATAATCAATGAAACAGTTGGGTGATTCCTCCTTTCTCATTCTGCTCCTGGTGGCGCTCAAAGTTTGTCAAGCTCCAGTGACAAGGTGTAGCCTTGGTTTAGCTCAGGGACCCTGTCTTATCGCCTTCCTTTATTTGCTGAAAATGCCTTGATCAAAGGGCAATCTTCCTAAAACCGCTGTTTAATTCGCCATGAATTTTTTTAGGGCCTGTACAGGAATTCTGTTGCTTTCGCTTCCAAAGAAACGAAAGGCAACAGGGAAATTTATCTTTAGGCAATGGTAACATGAATGGACAGCCTTCAGTTGTCGTGCAATACTCTGAAATTATCCACAAGATATAAACCGTGTCAAGTTGTATTGGTAACTGTCTTGCCTCTTTGCGCTTACAACAAACAGATCAAGCACAAAATTTCATTTTGAAGTGTTCCACATATTAATTCTGTGGTCAATTTAAGGCTATCCAAAGAAAACTACAATGTTGTCCGAGACGAGGAAAGAATTTTATCATTACAGAACATGGTATTAATTTTAACGAAAAAGTTTAAGCCCAGTAAGACGATTGGGTTATCAAACTCTCAGTGATGGAGGATAATCTTAGTGATAAGAGCAGTCGAACTACATTGATATTTTAATGAGGAAAATTTATTAAGGTGCTGGGCAGGTCAAAAGAAGGTGGATTAAAGCAGGGAAGATTTTCAATGAACAGAGTGTTGGTCAACTAAATCTCCCACCATTTATGGTCCTTAACACGATTCAATTTCGTAACCAACTAGTTGCAAGCCAATTTCCGGCCCCGTTGTCTCTTTTCCAGTTCCATCAGTTAAACTTTATATAAAATAGAATAACGGTAAATGTGAAACTGAGTTGCGTTGCCGCTAACTCACTCCTACGCTGCTTTCGTTGTTTGACCTGAAATTGTCAAAACATTTTAATCACGAGTCATGGCGTTGTGCCAAAGCAAGATAACAACTGGACATTGGTTATCCCTTACTGGTATAGATGTTGGGTCGTTACAGTATTTGTCTGCCGGGTATGTTTAAGAAGAAACAAATATATGCAACAGATATAAAAGCTGTTCAGTTATCAAAGAAGCTGTGTGAAGTAACGGAGAAAGATGCGTGATATATCAACAGAAACAAGATCAGAACAAAAATCAGAGTCTGTAAAAAGCAGGGTATTAGTTAACAGGATAAATCAAAATGGTTTACACACTCTCAATACAGTTAGGTCAGAAGTCGACTATGGAGGCGACTGTCCTCCCCGTAGAAATATTAGCATCAGCTACTGAGGAAGGACATGTTCCCTGGGTAGCACCCCTCCCCCTGCTTGAGCAGAATCTGTGTGTAATCATAGAAAAAGAGGGTTGGCTATCTTCCTGGGTTTGTTTTATCACGACTCATAGGTATTTTGAAAAACCTTCCCTGCCTCCTCCCAACATGTCACGAATCGATAATTTCAAAGTCGAAAATGGTGTTTTAACCTAACTGTTGCACATTGCAAACATAACTGTCGGATTCGTGTACTGCTTCCATTCTGATATGACTTAAAGTACAAATGTTTTATGATGTGAGCTGTGGTTGATAAATTTGTAACAGCATTCATTGCACACTTTAAATATCTAGCACACTAAACATTGGCAACAGCATATCTAAAGCTGGCTGTTCATGCATAGCAAAATAACGCATCATATAGTGCCATTGTATTCTGTACTCAGTTTACGAAAATTTTTAAGTAAAGACCCATCACTCTTATTCAAAGAAAATATAAAATTTTCCCGAAAAGGGTGCCATTTCTAAGAAAAATACGGAAATCCACAACCTGCATTGACAGCATGTGGGGTTGAGGTGGTAACTTTTCCATAAAAACAAAATACTTGCGACCTAGAAATTGATCTCATAAGTTAGATATTATGAATTGCAGAAGTTTGATCAAAAGGCAAATATTTACTGCCCTTTTTCTAAAAAAGGACAATTTCCTTCAACAGCAACCAGTATCGATCCAAAATTCTCATCTCAGGGAACGACCTTGGAACAACAGAATACATATTATAGCCAGTTTAATAACTAATTTGATTTTTTGCGACTTAGTTAAGACTGTTTAAGTTGTTTAGGGCGTTGCCTGATGATCGCATAAAGCGTGAAACTGGGGAAGAAACTTAGGATCGCCCTGTTCTACACACCAATGTTTGTACAGACCGGTCTATACATCATCGAGTAATCTGTAACAGATTGGAAACAGGAATCAATATATTTAAAGGATAATTATATCTGGTTGACACTACATCTTTTTTATCAACGGATGCCTACAATGTTACAAGTGAAAGTTCTTGATTCCCTAAAACAACAGCTGTTGGAAAAATTATATAACTAAGTGGGTTGACAAAAAACATACCGAAATTAACTGTTTTTTTAGATTTTAAACAAACTTTAAACAGCAATTTCCATGCAAAAGGAATAACAATATACTGAGAAGTCGAAATCTAACAACGATGTTACGTCACAACCGCACGGACGGTACTTGAAATGCTCATGCATTACCGGCCATGGCACACAACATTGACGAAATTTACACTGACACCCAGATGTAAATACACATAATATCTATAGGAAAATCGAAAAGCAACAAAATGTCCGTACTAACAGAATCTTTGTCGTTTGTGATTGGGCGACTCCATGATAATATCGGACGAAAAGTTACGTTTTCGGACATCGATTTGGTTCATTGCATCGCTTAGCTCGTTGGCAATGCACTCTGTGCGTGCGGAGAACATATCTTCAGCAGACGGTTTAGGTGAAACTGATAAAGCTGCTAGGCCAGTTCGCGAGTCCGATTGCCGTCGTCTTGGTGATGTTCTTCCGCACAGAAATGAAATTAAATCTTCCCGTCGCACATGTTTGCGTCTTGTCTTTGCCCATTTTAGAACATCTTTATTTCTTTTTTGATAACCTATTTGCTTTCCATATTCACAAGCACGTGTAAACGCTTCACTCCCGTCTGAAAGAGACAAATTCTTGTCAGAAATGTTGAATTTTGTGCAAAACTCAGACAACAGGCTAATCTGATGCCATCATTGGAGCCCATGGTCTTATATGGGCACATAAATACTCTGCTATTAGATATAGCAGATCAATTAAAAAGGATTGATTACAGCATTCCTGATCTTTGAAAAATTAAAATTTGGACTTTTGTCAAGCCTTAAAAAATGGGCTGCAACATTAAGCTTTAATAACTTCATGAAGAATATTCTACGAAATTTCTAAAAAAAAATTTGAACTTCTTTAAAGCATGAGTAGCTTGTATTGGAAATAAACTTTACTTCCATTATTCCTTCCATATAAAACTTCATTAAATACTGCCTTAGTTTCAACATTAAAATTATTTGCTTTGAATAGCTCAAAACAGATCAATCATACATATGGCTTCATACGATTTTGCATAAGTTATACTCGATTTATTTCAAGGACATTACATGAAGAACAGGATTTTTATCCTAGATTGATTTCCAACTCAAATTAACAAAAATTCTCTACACATCTTAAAATTTCATCCTGAACATTGGTTTTATTTTAATCCATACTGCTTTAAAATTATATCATGTTAACAAAATGACTTTTAAAGTATCAAAGTTAGAAATGGGAAAAACATGCAACTTGAACTGTAATTTATACTTCATAGTTTTAGTTTGTCTCATAATGCTAAATCTATATTTTATTTTCAGTTTAGAATGAGTGATGATAAGTAAAAAGGCAAGAAATAAGGAAGTTGTGGCCTTCTTGACCTAAATGTGTCATTAACAAAATGGAATTAACAATACATTTTTACCTTTGTATAACAAAGTAACTTTGTTGGCAGCTTCTTGAAAAGGGGTCCATGGCTTGGTGTGTGAGTTGCCTGAATTACAACATCGACATACTGTGCGATCTAAAAAACAATGTGATTTATCGGCTGCAGAAAAAAATTATGAAGAGCATTGCACTAAAAAAGAGAAATCTTATGAAGTCAGCACGATGTTGAAAAATAACACCAAACACTTTATTCACAAGTTAGGTTTCATGTCACTAAAGTAAGCACAATATCTCATAACACTGCCAATAATGGATTTTCATTTTTTAAATATTGGTTAATCAAGTTGGTTTTAGCACAAAAATGGCAGTAATAAAATCCAGTTTATGACAGCTGTAGGTAGCAACTTCTATTTAGAAAGGAGAGTTTAATTTCTAGATACAAAGTGTATATTTTGGTCATCTAGAGAATCATCTAGATACAAAGTGTATATTTTGGTCATCTTTCTGTTTTGTATTTTCTGTAATTAAAGCCTGTTCCAAAAATGTAGCTGAGTGTATATAAACAGGCAAATCCTTCTGAGTGTCTCGCCTGGTACATATATATTCCCTCCCTGAGTGCACTGCCTTGCATCATTTTTGGAACAGACTTTGAGATAATTGTTAATGGCCACATGGTTGTTATGAAGATTCCTGTACCCTTTGGTATTGTGATAGTACTGTATATGTTCTAGTATTTTGTAAAATTTCTATGAGCATAAACAAATCTAGAGAAAAATAAGCTTACGTTATACAAGCTGCTAACAATGACCTACATTAAACAGTAAGCAACTAGGCATGCAATTTCAGTATAATTTTCATTCATCATTGTTACATCAGATTAGCATTCTTAAAGTATCTATTGCCAGATGGAAAAACAGCTATACTTCACTTCTATTAACAAATTTTCATGCAGATAGTAATACCTCATATTTTCTGTCATTGCTTGTACTTAATGAGCACCAATGAACAGCAAAGCTGGCATTTTACTTTGTCCTTATAGAAAATTAATGGCTAATGTTGCAAAAGTTTCACATCTGCTTATCAGTCCCAACATACTGACATCTTACAAGCTTTGTAACTTAACTTTTCATGGACTCAAAAGAGAGAAAAAATCCAATATTCAGTGCAGTAAATTTCATAGAAACATTACTAGGAGTGAAGTTAGCATGAAAGTGAGCCCCAGTAATGGTAAACTGATCAAGCCCTTATGTAGAAAGCACTTGACCTCTGCCATTACCACCAAAATTGTGAAACAATCCAGCCTAATTCTAATATAATTATGTCTTTAACATATAACTATGCTCATAATTTTTAGTTCTACAAAAGAAACAGTTGCCCATAACCCACAAGTAAACCAGTAGGTTGTAGGCTCTACATCATCATTGCCAATTTGGTATTAAATCTATTGTTAGGATTATGCTAGATTCCTAAAAAAATTCAAAGTTATCAGAGAATATTTCACCATAAATAAAAATCATACCAGCAAAATTAAAGTTGAGCCCTTTCCAGTGATAAAATGTAATCAATTATTTGGAATACCTTATAGTAAACAGAATTAAAATTGCTAGTAAAATTAAAATTTATTTTGAAGAAATGGCAAACTGAAAATGTTTACTATATATAATATAAAAAGTAAAAATAAAGAGAATTATTTCCTTATGTTGAAGGGATCATAAAGTTAATGGCTTTGTTGAGTTCCTAGAAACATGTATCTTTCTATCACTAAAACATTAAATGCCTTTTGACAACATCTATAATTATTCTTTACAGAAACCAATTACCTGCCAACTGGTTGTGCATGCAGATCAAAATATGACACATATTTCAGCAAAAATTTATCAAAAAATACGATTGAACTTATGCTTGAAATTTTAAATACAAAAATTAGATCTTGAGCTATTACAAAAGAGTTAAAACCCTTTTGAAAGTACCAAATTATTTGTGGCCCCAAAGTATTAAATGCAACTCTTTTATGTAGCATCTTGTGAATGGCATTCAGAAGGGCATTTGTAAATCTTCTCAATGTGACGTTACACTGCATTTCATACCCTTGTATTTCTAAAATAATCCTCTTTGGAAATGTTGAGAGCTTTTGCAACCAATGTTAAAGAAAAAATTATAATTCATTTAACATGTTTCCAGACAGAAACTATTTGCAGCAATTATGGCAGGACATAGAAACAAGCAACTACTCAAATGAACACCTTTGTGGGCAAAAAGATTGCAAAATATGTGATGTAGTGGTGTTCCTTTGCAACTTAACTGCCTTTAAAAGTAGGCTGACCTAAGCAGAAATTAGCCATCTTAACACAAAAAACTGTCAAAAGGCATTATAAAAGTAGAATAAAGTAGTAGTAGTACTTTGCAAATATATTGCCAAGGAAAACTGTTTGGTAAGTTAGAATGCATACAAGAAGCTAATTAGCATGTTCACAGGTTAAGCCAAATTTCTATTAATGTTTATGAGCCAAGAAATTGTGCCTTACCAACAAGTCTGATTTTGGAGAATAATTTTAAAATCATATCATATTGACCACTACTATCCCTGCCACATCAATTGTATGTTTTCACAAAAGCAACATATTAACCAACCTATCCCTGCCACTTTAAATTATTTTCACTAAAGCAATAGAAAAACCATAATCTAAGTTTCGCACACAGCTTCCTCAAGCATGACAGCATGTCTGCAATTAGAGACACAGGCAAAGATATGCAGGTGGAGTGATATGTTCTAGGAAGGCACTACATCACTATACTGTTTTTGTCACGCACCTGCCATTCTCTGCAGGTTTATTGCAGCATAAAATTGAAGGATAGAACTTATTCAAAGCCTACATTGGTGGCAGAAATAAGGCCATAAATCATGGCAATGCACAAAGGGCAAGCTAACTAACCATAATCTGGCTATGAAAAACCAGTTGTCCCAGACTGGAAACTTTGTCACGTGCCTGCGATATAATGCTCGCGCACTCAAATTTTCCATCTGCGCACTATTGCATTTTGGCTGCGCAAAGTCCCTTTTTGAAAACATTTCACATTAATAACAATACAAATTTCTTAAAAGTGTGTGATTTCAGGTGTGTAGCCAGGCGCATGAACTTGCCCATGCAAGAAACAAAGTTTTCAGTCTGGGAGTTGATGGGACACTTGACACAGATAAAAGTCATGGAGTTGCACACAAAAGCGCGTATTTGGAACCTATAAAGCGATAGCAAATTCTTAGATCCTTTCAGCAACTAAGGAAATATGAAGCTGGTAAATTTAGTACATTTTAAGTGGATGTAAAAACTTTTAAATAAATCTATATCCATATATGATGAACCTCCCAAATTTAAATTCCTTCTTCATTTATCCTCTGTAGCAAACTTTTCATGTATATGTAGAGAAGGATTAACTGGACTTTGCCAGAAAGACCTTCACCTCCTAGGGTACATATGGGTTCCTTTCTTATCAAGTTGACATGCCTTAAAGTAATGCTTAGAGGCACACTATTGCCTATATATAAAAATAAAAACAATGGTCTCTATCCCCTAGATTTGTTTTTGGATATAGATTGATATTTTAAAATCACTGTAACGCAGCAATAGCCTTCAACCTTAATCATACAAAGCCATTTTAAAAGTCAGAAAACTTTTCGTTTGGTAGTTGGTTCACCCAAACATCAAATTGAAGCGTGTTTAATTATGCTTGCTATTTTATGCACTGGGAACTTCTCTGTTATTAGAACTCACAATGGCTTGGAAATTCAAGTTATTCTTCGATTCTTACCCTTGTAAAGTTGTGCGACAGATTTTGCGGCGTTTTGAAAAGAAGCCCATAAATTGTCTAAGATTGCCTGTTTCTCTGCCATCAACCTGGCCTCCACATCCGGTTCAGCTTCAAGATGCTGAATACAGTCCCTTTCCCAAGTGCTGTAGCTATACCATGGGTCGATAAATGGACACTCGTTATCCTTATTAGAGTCTTCCATTCCCAAAATCAAACAGTTGTCAGTTTTAAGTCATATTACGTAGCTACTGACTCTCTCCGCATATCTGCCCTTTCCGTCCTTACTGTTTGTGTGTTGCAAAAATGCATTGTGGTATAGCTGTTACCAACCTCGTTTCAAATAATTATGCCCCATTCAATTCAATTTTGTTAAGACTGAATTTTCATCCTTCTTGGATAGTCTGATGCTTCGTGACTCCCAGTGGACAGTGCCGTCGGAACGAAATTCATATTGGGGGGCTGCCCATTGTATTCCTTCACATTTAGTACACTGTTATAAAGGAAATATACTACAGTCTGACAATTATTAGGGGGGGGGGCGGGCCCTGGTTCCGACGGGCCTGGTGGACCAGTGGCGTAGACAGAGAGGGTGTTTGGGTTTTACGGTTTTGTCCGTCTTTTGACTCGGTTTTTCGGTTTCTGCCTTAAAATCTATCGGTTTTGCGGTTTTCGATATTGCCACGGTGAACGGTTTTTGGCGTTAGGGAGCTGTCATAAAGTATGAAACAGACCGGGGCGGAAGGGATTTCAAATTTTATAGTAAAATCACGTAGCCCAATGATAGAAATAACAAAATCTTCATGGCCCCAATGAATGTTCTAAAATAATTTGATAGCCCCTGAAAACTTTTGATGAAGAATCACAGAAAACAGTACTAATTCTCTTTACACAACCAAGATTAAAAATACATCACTCTCTGAAGGGCCAGAACTGAGCCAGCTTTATTTCCTGGGGAAAAATGTTTTGTGGAAACAGAAGAATAAGATGGAGAGAAAGAGGAAACTGGAAAATGACAAGAAGAGTGAAGAGAGGAAGAAAATGAGGCTACACAAAAGCTGTGGAGCAGTTTTGGGTGTAATAACGCATGATAAGTTATTCTGTGATTACGCTGTGTAAGAAATTGTATGGTATGACGTACGACAGTAGTTGTTGCTGTTGTTGTCTTTTAATGTACACGTGAAGTATGCGTTCGGAGAGATTTGAGTTGAAGTTGATTAGAGAAGACCTAAGTTAGAATCTACGGAATTATACAGTCCTCTATTGGAATTAGAATTTGAGCCTGAACCATATATCGTCGTCTTTCTTTATCTACTATCTGTAGTACTGAACTTGAGCCACCAGCGTATATAGCAATTTCGCACACGCTGCTCAGGGAAAGTTTGATTTACATATTGAGGAAGCTTTTATCAACTCAAATGCCATGGATGCTCTAAAGCAAAAGTTACATTTGCGGGGCTTGAAACATCTAATTGAGAAAGGTATTTTGCTGAAAATGCCAGAAGATACCACCATGGTAGAGATTGAAGATAGCAGTGACCGTGATATTGACAATAGTGACTAACTTTTTTTAGATATTCTAAATGAACAATTTCACGGCCCATGATTATTGTTTGAAATAATTTGTTAGCCCAACGTTTCGCACTCAGAAGTTTTGATCACCCCGCTGAATCCCTTCCGCCCCGGTCTGTTCCATACTTTATGACAGCTCCCTTATTGAATCGGTTTGCCGGTTTGTACGGTTTTCAGATTTTCGGATAAAATGTTTACGAAAAGCACTGTCACCACAAGGCGCGAGAGGTATGATAAACAAGACAACTTAGTACATTTTTCAGAGTGATTCATGGAATGGTCATGAAAATAAGTGTTGATGTATAATATTCCTGGCTAGGGAATTATCAGAGGATGATTCTACAGTCAAGACAATTTCATCTCCATTGGTAACTACACGTCCCCCCCCCCCAGTTCTCAGCAGAAACGATTTTGTATTTCGTCTAAATTGGATGAGAAAATGTTGGGGGAGGGGTAATATTTTGACACCGTACTTTTTGTGATGTAATCATATGATTTTCAAACTGCCAATTTTCAAACAAAAGTTTGTCATAGGCGTTCCCTTCGGATAAAATTGGCGTTCCCTGTTGGTAAAAGGGCATTTTCTGGTGGTTAAAAGGGCGTGGCTTAAATTTTTTCACTTTTTCCTCCTAGGGCTGGCACCGCCATTGAATACATCAATACATCGTAAATATACTAATGTTGTGAAAATATCCATGCAAAGCGGTCTTGGCCAAGGGGCGATTGCCCCTAAGAAATTTTTAAGACTGGGGTTTTATGCTATTTTATAATCTGCTTGTAAGCAGAAAAGGCCACGTATAGGTAGAATTGCTTGAAAGAATGCATTTTCCAGCGAACTAGAATCACTAATATTAGAAAAAATTTTCTGACCCTTCTGCGGCAACCATGGTGCCACCACGGGTCTTGATGAGTTGGTCAAGAAGTCAAGGACGCATACTTACCAATAGTTCAGCAAAATTTTAATTTTTAACATACATAGTAATAAATGTTTTTGTTCGAGTCACCAATTGAGTTTTTTGTAGCTACAAAGACAAAGTTTTTATCCTTCAATTGATTTTTCAATAACTCATGAAATTTTTTCACCTCGGCTTCTACAAATAAAATGCTCGGACTTGTTGAAGGGAGCCTTGTTTATGCTTGGGCTCGGGGGCTCTAAAAATGTTAGTGCGGCCCTGGTCAGCCCCATTGCTTTCGGTTCGCACTCAGTTTTGTACCCAGTTTTATTTTTGGGTTTGGCAACCTAAACTCTACAGCTTGCATGCGTGAGAGAAAAAATCTACACATGACACTTATCTATGATGATGTACAAGGTGCTATTGCATTAACCCCCTAAACACTCCCTCTAGATAGGCACCGCGCGGCAATTAGGCTAGCAGCCCCCCCCCCCACTTTTTGGCAATAATAGGCTAGAAAACTTTTTGAAAGATTTGCTCTAACGCAACTTTGGATAGTTAACTCCTATGTTGTAGCAGTTCTTATTGACTGGGAACCATTTCTGTTCATTTTCTAGACAGGGATGCAGTCGTAAAATTTTAACAAGGGTGGGGGGGGGGGGGCTCTATGAAATTTCCATGTTGTTCTTGTCATGTAATCATTGCAATTTGAACATGACGAGGTTTATGTTTTTTTCCGATCATTGGCTGAGTTTGGTTGAGCCAGGTACATTGACTTTTTGAGCGACAGCTGGGCGAAGAACGTTGATAACAAGGGAAGGGCCAGGGGGCTGGGGGAAATCCTCATTGAACGTTCAAGGTAAGGGAGCAAAATGTTTATATCGTTCTGGGGATTAGTGAAAGCCACCCTCATGGTTGACGGCGAGAAAAATTTTGAGATATGACATTTTAAGGATGAACATGCATCTAAAATATTTACAGCATCGATAAGGAGGAATTTTCTTTTTAATAATAATAACCCATTGGCTGGGTTTTGAGCTGACACATTTTCTCTTGTGAAGATTTTATAAGCTAACAAACTGTGCTACTAAAATGTCATGCAAAACTGCTATTCAGTTGACTTAGAAAGTATTCATAGCTTGCAGATAAAGAAAATTCAATTTTGAAATCAGAACAGCATTAAGAACGCCCAAGTCTGAAATTATCCAAAAAATAGGAACATCAATCTTCCGCAAAAATAGTATTGCTATTATATAAAAGAGTGTAGTGCATCAAATATTAGAAATAGGCAAGACAGAATCAAATATAAGCACCCGTCTGCTGATTCAAGCAATTAACCCCATTTCTAAGTGCAACAATAAAAAGCCAACAAATATGGAGGCTCGGTAGAAAATTAAGTATTTTTATAAAAAAGGTGAGTAAAAGTAACCAGTAAGAAATCTTTCAAGGATTTTTTTCTATCTTTATATATCAAAATGTATCCATTTTCATGCATGTAAAGCATGCAATGCGTTTAAAACTTTCAGTTGCATTGCTTTCCTTTTCTTGCTAAGTCGTCAATGGCTGACCTGTGGCGAAGCAACAATTCTTCACAGCTTTCTTTGCGTTATCTTGTTTAATGATTGATGTATTAGACGAATGGAAGATTTTCTGGTCTTCTCCTCTAAAAATGGCATTTTCAAGTACCGTTCATTTTTTTAAAGAGATTGCCCATCTGATTCAGAACAACAGAAGTCATTATATTCAGCTTTATAATCTTTCCTCTCTAATTGAAACACTATAGACAGGACATATAACCTGACAATCTGACATTCAAGCTAATGTTTACTTTCTCAACGGATTCTTGTAGTAGGGAGTCCAGGCTTTCATAATCTCCAGGTGACTTTTTTGAAAATGTCTGGATGTCACGGGACTGATGACGTCATTTAACGGTAAAAAATCAGACAAAATCATTGCTAGCTCTTTACTGGATTGTTATTTTTTGACGCAAATTACATATTTTGACTCGTCTCATTGTAAGCTTTTAATTGATGTATATTTAAGAATGATTTGCCAGCATAAGTATTTTTATTATGACGTCATCAAAAATTTTGCATGACGTCATCAAAGATCTTTTTGTCATTAAATGATAAGTTGACATAACTTTGTATTAATATGAGGCTGGATGTCAGCAAAAGCATTTCATCTTTAATTTTTTCAATCAAATAATTAGTATTTAGATCATTTAAATTACGTTTTAATACAAATAGGCTTGAAATCAGAATGATTTTGCATGCTAACTCGAAAGATGCAAAAGTAGTTGTTGTTGCGAAGGATACTGATGTATTTGTGCTGCTTGTTCATGCAATACAGGAGTGCAAACCACAAATTAGTGGTTTATGTGCATAAACAACAAACAAATCGTCGAGATTTGAGGCATCGCTGAAACTTTTGGTTCCAAAAATTGCTGTGTCCTTCCACAGATCCATGGAATTATGGGCTGAGACTCTCAGAATAAGTTATTGCCGACGCAAATACATTCGAGAAACTGTAGAACATAGTGGAACACTATATTAAAGCCGCTTAGGGACAAGGATTCATATATATCAAATCTGAAAACAAATCATCTGCAGCAGTTCCACAGATCCACAATCATTCAATCAGAGAAGAATTAAATTGTGTCGACTTAACAAGGTTATTTTGGCTACAGTGTTTAGATGCAATTACCACAAGACATGTCCCAAATGATAATTCAGAAAAATGCCTTGCAAAAAAATAACTTGTGCTCTGATGAAGCCCCGTATGCCGGGCGAAATATTAGCCTTTGCTGATTTACGTGTTTTTATTATTGTTTATTCTCGGCGTATTGCGGTGTTTCATATTTGCTACAGATGTGTAAAAGCCTGTTTGCTACATTTTTTTATCGACTTTTCGCCGCAAGAACTCCATGGAGCCCGTCGAGCAGCCTGATACAGTGGCCTTTTCTCCATTCACACAAAAAAATAACTGGCTGAAAAAGATCTAGAATTAGAAAAAAGGTATATAAAAGAGAAAGGCATTTATTATCAAATTGAAAAATTATACTTGAAATTTAGTCAGGGGCAACATTAAGCAAAGAGACATATTTGTGCCGCTTGATTAAAATGTTACGCAGATTTGATGATTCAATGCTTAAACTATGAATCTTCATTACTGCGACGATTCGGGCTTAAACCATTTGATCCTGCCAGCTTTAATCCAATGAAGTTGAAGTACTGAATCTAGTGCTATCTGCAACTTTCCATTAACTTGTCTTGTTCTTTGTACCAAAAGTTTCTTGCCATTTGTCTTTTTTTTGCCTCACGGTCATCATATCAGGGTTAATTTTTATCGCAAATTTAAAAGTATCTAAGTTTAGTGCTATAAAGCTTTCATTTGGGTCTACTTTGAAGCTTGCCAAGCATCTGTTCTTGCTCCGTTTTTGATTATCGATTATAAAGATTTCATTTAATTGAAGATTCCATTTCAAAAAGCATAGCTGTGATTGTGGTTGCCGATAGGTATGATATAGCTAAGAATTTGAATTAAATTAATAAAACATATTAAAATGATAACAGTGCTTATAATGTTTATCGAAAGTTTATAGCTAAATACAGTAAAATAAAATTAGCACAAACATAAACTTAACAAATAAAGCTATTACGTAACAAAAAGTTGAGTGATTGGAATATTAATGCATACTAGATAAAAGTAAGATTCCATATGCATGGTTTTCTCCAAATGTAATATGTCCATTTAAACTTGCAGATATATCATATACAGGCGAAAATGTGCTGAGAATAACTTGGTTAGCCTAGGCAGCGATTAGCTAAACAGTCAGATGTTTTAAGATAAAATTCAATCTTAGAATTATATCAGACAGAGCAGTTCATTTTTAGTTGAATGTCCTTCAAAAGATATCTTTTGCAGCAGTCTGAAGCAGTCTTACAGTAATTCACGCCATTTTTATAAGAGCACAATGACCCTGAAGTGTGTTGGAAGAAAAGTGCTTCAGTATGCTACAGAGGATCTTTTAAGGAATTTTCACCGGTGGGGAACGGACACAAAAGGACATTCCTCTTAACGTGACACAACTGATGGCAAAAACAAAAGGAAAAAGTGTATCCATGGTATGTAATGCTTCAGGGTCTTGCACATCAGTCCTTACTCCAATGCAGTGAAAAGTTACATTTAAACCAGAAAAAATAATGAGCATTCAGATATTGGCAAGTTTGCAGGACAATGAATTTTCCACGAATTTCATAACCTCGCTTTGGTGTAGTGCAAGAAAATCAAACAGACACATACATAAAACGATAATGACACAACAAGCAGTAATGATTTTAAAACAAATTTTTAAGAAAAAGGCACTTGCTAGTGGGGAATCATGGGCCAACTAGTTGGGAAATTTAAGGGTCTGGTGGGGAAATTCCCCACTAGTTTGTATGTTAAAAGATCCCCTGGTATGCTATGTTTTCGCTATTTCGTGCCATCTTCAAATTCTGCGATACCAAAAACTTATTTGGTCATTGCTTTCTGTTGTTCTGTTACTCTTTTTTTATTTTCCAATTTTAGCTAGCATTTCATTTCTTGAGTTTTCTTGAGTCTCAACTTGCCTTGTTTCTTATATTTTTAATCTTTGGGCAAATCTTAGCCTGTTGTTGTTATAAAAAACTTGCATTTTGATTTTATGATTTGTCTCATGGCCGCATGTACTCATTTAAATAGCAATCAAACAATATAATTTCTCTTTTAACCTAAGTGTTTAAGAAATCAAAACGATTTACAAATAACACCAGAAACATACTGCTTATTGTAAACAAAGCCAACGCTTCATGTCCTACTGTTCTTCCTCACATTCGCAAATGACTTAAAAACGAAAAAATTGCTTTCTCTTCTTCAAAATTATTGCATGAGGAAATTGGGCCAAAAATTTGCTTGAATTATACGCCAAATTTGCAGTGAAAGGTGAAGATTTATTTGACCTTGTGCAAAAAAAAGTTCATCAAAAGAAATTATTTTCATAATCAAAAAAGAATGGGTGATATCCACTATACCACAAGACTACTGATATTCCAGGGGGCGGCTGGCTATGATAAGCTGTTGGATGCATATACCAGCCCGACTTAACATGCTTCACGCCATATCCCACGATTTCAACGAAAATGCTGTTAAAACTGCAAGTTGTTGTTACCACGAGATCTCCCCCTGAACCACTTGTTGCTTGAAAAGCGACACATTTTCTTGAGATTACGTGCATCATCTGGTTTTGCCCGTTTTTGCAAAACAGTTGACATTGGCGCGTTATTGTTAGCTTTCCTTGCGAATTCACTTTCACGCACATGTTGTGTTGGTATCCCTTGAATGCCAAGTAGAATGGTGTTTCAGCTGTAAATTAAAATAATTTCATTACACAGAGATAACAAAAGATCTTGAAATCTTATCTTGAAATCTTCAAAATAGAAATTAGATACTGAGAAAGAGCAGGCTTCTTATCCTGTAGCCAGATATATTTTGCTATGCAAGAAAGTATTTTGTAAATAAGCTACAAAAATTTCTTCAGATAAATCATTTTCGGCGGATAAACTTCGTCGAAAAAAATTTAAGACATCTTTTCAGAATTGAGGCAAAACTCGTATGCAGTAGTTTGCTTAATTCTAAATCTCGTATGCACCGACTCCAGTAAACTTAAAATCTTGAAGAAATTCATTCATTGGACAAATTTCGGACGTTTTTTACAAAATTCATATCGTAACAAATTTTCGGACAAAAACAAAAGCAATAGAATAACATTTAAACAGCATGTTACTTCTTATAAAGCTTACTATGAAGTCAATACCTCATTTGATTTAAAATCGAAAGTCACATGAGTTCAAAGAAGTCGTTATTCCAACTCTCTCAATGGGGATCTTGTTTTTTTCATTTCAAGAGCCATTGCAAAAACTTTTGAAATCATCCTACGATTGCTGCAAATTTCACCGTGACATATATCAAAACAAAGATATAAATTACCATTTGATATTTTCGCATCTACTATCTCGATCAATAAGATAAGGCCTACCTTTGTTTCTTAAAGGATACAGATCCCAGCCTTTGGTTATGTTTGCCCTGGTATGAAGCGACTCGAAACATTCCAAGCGCGCAAGTATGCATTCCACCCCAGTCGCACCAGTTTTTAGGATGAGAAAATTAGCAACATTGCAATTCTTATTCATTGTACACCGATGTATACATAATTGAATGCTGGCTACTTGCAGTTGCTGGGAATAAGGTGGCAGTAGCTTCATGTCTTTCAGGTATTTCTCTATTACCCATCCTTGCCCCTTTGTGAGCAAAAGAATCAGTTGCAGCAAAGTTGAAAGTGGACCAGGCTCAAACAGCTTCATTTTCTCGAAGAGTCTCGTCATCAACTAAAAACTATTCCAGTAACTAAAATCGATTAAAATACCGAGTACATAAATATTTGAAGAGACCAGCAGACAGCTGTTCAGCTGAACGACATATGATTATTTTTATCTTTTTATCTCAGTGTCTAAAGTTTTGGCGACAATTTTGTCCAACCCCGCAATGCCCAATTTTTCAGTAAACAGTGTTTGACACTGTTTACTGAAAAACATATGAATATTCAATGAGCACTTAAGAAGTCGTTTTAAAAAGGGGTAGTCGGTTGGACAGTCTAGTAAACTTTGAATACAATAATTGAATAGACAGTTTAACATCACTTATGTGTTTCTGTGTAAGATAGCCCAAACAGGATTTTTACGATCATTACCCGCATAGGACTTTGAAAATTATTCGAATCAAATTTATATGACTGTGAAAATTTACCTCCAAAATCGATAATTTTTCAATTGAGGTAAAAAGGGAGAATGCCATTCCAACAAAAATCTAAAGCAACAAAGAAGCTCGATTTCTAAAAAAAATTGGATAACAGTAAGCCTTACTGGCCTTGATAGCGGTTCAAAGCTTTGGGAATCAGTCTTCACCAAAGGATTTTCACTGGCTGCCCCCACTCGGTAACTCTAGGTTTTGAGCCCTTTCCCCACATACAGTGCCGCGGAGAGGATTTATGGGCCATAGGTCGGGACAAAAGACAAATAGTAAAGTAGGCCTAAGGCATAATCTTCTAGGGGATACGGAGAATGCTCCCCCGGGAAATCTAGCATTGATTCATATAAGCATGGTCTATATCATTTGAATTTATCTTTGTGTTACTTCAAATGAATATGAACCTTAAATGCTATTTGATATAGTAACAGAGGTTGCCTTTCTCAATTTCTCTTTGACCCTTTTAAATATCTATACTCTGAATGCCCAATGTGTAAGGTAATTATTTCTTTCATAATTTCTCTTCTTTCATAATCATTTTATAATATGACTCTGCAGTAAATTTCACTTGTTTGTTAGTCTTTATCCCCGTCAAAATTACTATTTTATGCATACAAAAGGTAACAAACTATTCTATGGATCAGCAGAAAGAATCTGGCAATGCTAGATGAAGGTTGGAGATTCCATGTATCCTGTTATCTGGTCACTAGCCGTGGGTAAGTGATAACTTCCCCACATTTTCCCCTGCAAGTGCTACCACAAAGGCCTCAACACATTAGTCAAAAGGACAGCTGTTTTTGTATCAAAATGTTTACAAAAGAGACTATTTTTTAATATATCTATATAAAGTTTGCAAATCCACTGCTATTATTTCAAACTAGCAACAATATGTTGAATTTTTCGGCAAAAGGTACTTTCTAGCAATTTTTCAATAGATTATTGCTTCATAATACTCTGATAACAACATTTTTCAAGTGTCATTGAAATTATGAATTTGCTAGCTAGTTCATTGGCCATCTAAAACTTCTTTGTTTGCTATTTTGGTTGGCAAAATTGCAATTATGACTACTGTTCTGGCTACCTATTTTTGATACCTACCTATTCTATATAATTTGAACATATCTGATATCTTAACACCATACTTCATAAAAATGAGAATTTCTTGAAAATTTTAAAAGTCTTAGATAATGGAAAACATTTAATTCGCTAACAAGGTTCAATTAAAACCGACACACTGTTGCACATAGATGCGCGTGCCATATAGTAAATTTGCAATGTGATCAGGTCAGAATGTGATTTCTAAAGAGCAATGTGATCTGACCTATAAGCAAAAAATTATGGCTGTTGAAGTTTCGCTTTGTCAAACAACTTACTTTCTGAAGTTTCATGATAGTACAGACGCATAGTATAGAATTGTGCATGTTATGATAATACTAAATAAGATGAAATCCATATCAAGCTTCAAAAATGCCCTCAAAAGCTTTTTTTCATTATTTTTGAAAAACTATATATTTGCAGTCACCTTTTGCAATCATTTAAAAAGTCACAATGGAAAATATTTACTTGCATGTAGATATCAAGAGATGCTCGAAACCTAGATTTCATTAGCATATTGTATTTATATGAATTAATATTGCTCGGAAATCATGTTCTTGAAAAGCCCCTTTGCTGCCCCCGCTGCCCCCGTGGCTCCGGCGCCCTTTCATCCGCTTACATCGTAAGAATGTTTTCAAAATTTTCAAAATCGTAAAAGCCTCAAAGATTCTTACAAGAGATTTTGTTCTTCTGATGGTCAAAGTAGCCTTAGAACGTATGATCCAAACGAGACAGACGTACAGTTTTGTAGTACCTGAGGATATACCACCTGAACATTCTTAAAAATTGTGACTCGTGTATGAAATATGGAATATAAGTTCACGTCATGGCGCAATGCATTCTGGTACTTGTAGTTAAACCCACGAACATTTGTTTATGTTTTGTACGGCGATCGCACGAAGTTCTGTTATTATTCAACGCTCTTTGCTGAAATAGTCAAATAAATAATGGAAAATACGGCAGAATGTACATAACAGCACATCCCTAGATTTTCTAAAAGCTATGGATAAACTTTATCATTAACGCCAGATTAAGTTTACTTATGTTTCTCACTCATGTCTCTGTGTCCAGAAGACGCTGGAAGGGCTGTAGGACAAGGGTGTAAGAAAGTGCCAAGAAAAAATTGAAAATAACCACTTAATTTTTGGAGGTCAAGGGGTACGGCTTTTACCGGGCTTGTACGCAGGGACAATAATGACGCATACGGAACTTCAGTTTGAAGCTTTTTCAGAACAGCCGTTTCTCCATTTTCGCAACCCCATTTGAAAATCGAATTCGACATAACTTACCGTGTCAAAGTGTCTTTCGATCTGGCAAAGTCTGAAGAAAAGAAGATTAGATTAATCGAATTCGACTTTGATTTCAAGGTAAGACCGTGTCTAATAGCCTAAGCGGCAGTCTAAGAGGCAAGGTTTATTTTAAGGAACTTTTATCTCTGCACATTTTCAAGATTTTTGAAAATTTGGGTGTTGCCTTTTGAAAATTTGTATGACCACATCTATCAAACAAGTTGTATGTGAAATTATCAAATCACAGCAGCTCTCATCCAAGCTTTACAAGAGATTTTGATGAGGAAAAGTGGTCTAGATTGAGAGCATAGATCTCAAAGGAGATAACGACACAAACTAGACAGATTTTAGATACTGAATTCGATAAAATTTTACAAAGATTTAATAGATTATGAACATTGTTACTGTTATGTTCTCATTTTTAACATTGTAATGCTCTTTTATAAGCTTTATGTGTCTACAGGCATTACTGCACAAATTTAGAGTTTCTTACTGCACAATTACGGCTTATCACTGCACAATTTGGTTATCACTACAAGTTAAAATAAACCCTGCTAAGAGGGACAAAAGATAACGGGAAAGCCTTCTATAATTGCAATTGGTTAACATGAATAGAAATAGTAATTTTACAACATGTCAGTGTCACACATAAATGATTCTGGCAAAAACGGTAACTAGTGGTTCCTAGGTTGTATTGTGAATCAAAAGACTTCATTAATAAATTTCTAGACAGAGAAACTTTGATTTTCAAAGCTGTGAAACACACTTGATTGAAAGTACACTTTCAGTATTTCGGCACTACGTGAATTCTGCGCTAATAATTCATTTGGTAACGTAAGCTCCGTAAAAGCTCCGATGGATGTGAATTTGGAAGTAGGAGAACGGAAGCTCACGCACCGGATCGAACGAAGCGGTTGACCCAACACCCTCAATACATTTATCAATTTTCTTTTACTTGGCTTTGTTCTGCCCTATTTCTCGGCACTATGTCCCTTGCTTTGTAGCTCTTCGTTCTCTGTCTATGAAATCAGAAACGGTTACTTTTATAAAAACATAGCTTGAGCAACAGGGAATCCCAAGGGCTTTTGAGAGGGATTGTAGATAAACGATTCTTTTCAATGGGGAGCTAAACATAGGTAATGAATTAAGCGATTTCAAGTAAATAACCCGAGTCGAAAAAGGTAGTTCCTAGAAGTTGTTAGGAGTTTCTCTTCTACCCAGGCATACGCAATCCAGGAAATTGATTCTGGGGACAATTGCATGAAATTGGAAAAGCGGAGATTTATTCAGGGTAGTTAGAACCGGGGGGTTTAGGAAAGGCTGGAGCCTCCGAATAATCTTCAAACTGTAGTATATTTCATTTTTAACAGTGTACTGAATGAGAAAAAATACAATGGGCAGCCCCCCAATATGAATCAAATCGATAGTCCGTCAATGAAACTCTTGAAGATCCCAGAGGCCCTTTACATGAGATCCGAAATGAAACTTTCTATCAAAAACGTCTAACAGACATGTCTAACAAGTTTCAAGCTAGGTAAAACACAATAATTCTATCCTCGATTTTATCCTGGCACTCTGATTAAATGCGAGAAACGGACATAAGTATTTGTGGTAAAACTATTTCTCTATTACGGTTTTAAGAAACGTTTAGAGTATGAAACATGAAACAATGATAAAATCTAGGCAATTAAATAATTGTGATCTAAAGCAAAGTTTCAGGTAAAGTTCAGAAGAAATCATTCATGAAATTGAAAAAGAATGGCTGATATCCACTATACCACAAGATTACTAATATTCCAGGTGGTGGCTGGCCCTCATAAGCTTGTGCATGCATATAAAAGCCCGACTTAACATGCTTCACGCCAGTTCCCAAGACTTCCACGAACACGCTGTTACTATTGCAAGTTGTTGTCACCACGATATTTCCCGTCCACCATTCCTTTGCTTTAAAAGCCATACACTTTCTCGAGACTACGTGCATCATCTGCTTCTGTCTATTTATGCAAAACATCTGACATTGGTGCGTTATTGTAAGGTGTCCTTGCGAATTCACTTTCACACACATGTTCTGTTGGTTTCCCTTGTATGCCAAGTGGAACGGTCTTTCAACTGTAAATGAAGGTAAATTTATTTCTCAGTAAAAATGGGAAGCTCTTCGTGTAGCTAAATCACATTGAGCCGCTGAACAGCAATATCAAATAGGAGATAACAATAATAAAAATTGTTCTTGGGTACACCAGCATTTGATTCAAATACTGTTGTTTTCATTTTCCTGCTTTTCTAATAGTTTAGCAAGCCCTTATCCTCAAATGTCTCCATCATGAAGTAGCAATTTTGCAATATAATGCTTAATTCCATGATCAATTATATTTTTAACCGAAACTCAAATAAAACAAATCATTAAAGTTATTTTTGTCAGCATTGACTCCCAGAGCCTACTGTTTCTCAAAAAAAGTTAAATAAGCGAAAATATTTCTAAAAAAATAGGTTATTAGGTTATTTTTAAACCCCAACCCTTATTTAAGCCAAATTACTAAAAGACTTTTGCTCTAGCTTCTTCTTCTGCGTAATTGAGCGGTTTTTATACGTTCGATGAACAAAAAACGAACATTAAACAACATTAAACAAGATAGAGCCACGGAAAAATCCTTGCAGTACTCTTGATAAGAATGTATCTAACTTCTGTTGCAAAATTATAGCTACTGAATGGATCCCAATTCAGAGGGAAGTTATAAGGTATACAGAAGATTCTTGTCAATGTGAAGTCAGTCGCGCAGTCCAAACCCTTAAACTTCACTCCTTTTCAATGCAGGTATATTGAGTATCAAAGTTTTAAAATTATCTAACCCGACTATTTCAAGTATCATGAATCTAAAAGCAGCCTAAAAATTCTCAGTCATGCCAAAAGTAAGTAATGAAACGGTTAAGTTAGGTTATATTACAGTGATAGCAGTTCAGAGATAGTCGACAAAAATTAAAGTATTATCTTTTCTTGTTGAAAAGTGACAAACCGTTTGCTAAAGCGTTGAAGCGTTTACTTTTGAAAGGAATTTTAGATACAGCTGTTAATGGGTGTGGTACATATTTCGACCTGATTTCGATAGGAGTACACTTTTAAACCCTTCTAATTGACTTTCATTCCTATATTCTGCCTGAACTTTGATTGCATTTAATTGCATTGTATTGTTTTGACTCGTTAGTTTTAGTCCTTCGTAAAGAAATCGGATTTAGGTTTTCGGGGTTTTATACTCCAAATGATATATTTTAGATGGTATTAATTCGATAGCAGCGCTAACACGAATGAGTATGGCATCTTCCAAATACCGATTTTGCTGTAAAAGACCTTGTTGAAAATTTTAGTATTGGAAAAAGAAATTGAAGCATGTTTCTCCAAAACCTCTTCAAACCTTTTCTTCGACAACCTAGTTTCACATACAATACACATAAATAGCATTGACTTTATAAATATCTGATTTTCAGAGTTTTAAGTTAAGACCATATCATCTGTTGACAGATAAATGCCCAAATTTAAAGTTTCTACCACTTTAAATCTTCTCACCTCACCTACTGCCAAGGTGAAGGCCTACCTTTGTTTCTTAAAGGATACAGATCCCAGCCTTTGGTTATGCTTGCCCTGGTATGAAGCGACTCGAAACATTCCAAGCGCGCAAGTATGCATTCCACCCCAGTGGCGCCAGTTTTCAGGATGCGCACATTAGCAACATTGCAATTCTTATTCATTGTACACCGATGTATACATAATTGAATGCTGGCTACTTGCAGTTGCTGGGAATAAGGTGGCAGTAGCTTCATGTCTTTCAGGTATTTCTCTATTACCCATCCTTGCCCCTTTGTGAGCAAAAGAATCAGTTGTAACAAAGTTGAAAGTGGACCAGGCTCAAACAGCTTCATTTTCTCGAAGAGTCTCGTCAGTAACTAAAAACTACTCGATCGTTACTATCATTTAATAACAAATGCATGAATAATTTAAAGGACAAATAAGTCGCATTAAGGCTTGCCAACATAGTTAATTTGCATACAATCTTCCATTATGAATTCCACGATCAGGGGCGTAGCTAGTGCGGGGTGTAGGGGGTGTAACACCCCTCAATTCCTCATGAATTCGTCGGTATATCTTCAGTTTGTCTACAAAACACTTAATTTGTCGGTAAAATCAGCTATAAGTAGGTGAAATAGTACCTAAATTCTTCTCAATCTCTGTCTTCGTCGGTAATTTTTTCTATTGATGACCCTCCACCCCCCTAATCTGGAAGGTCAAGCGACGCCACTGCCCACGATCGATGCAAATATTGTCTTCCTGCATATTTGTTGGTCCTTAGCTAATGCCATTAGCGATTCTAAGCTCCTTGATACTTATTTCACTCGCCATAGCTAGCAGTCATTTAACTATACCCTTTTTACCTGTGATATTGTCTTATTTCTTCACGTCTTTGCTGCCCGGGAATAAAAGCCCTTCTTTACATTTCATGGCAACTCCATCGTTCTCTTTTTGATGATTAGAAATTTTGTTGGAAAGTACAGCAATGTCTCCCAAACTCTACATCCCATCTACGGCCGTCTGTTTTTTACCATTCCAGTATAACATACTGAGGTTTACACACGATAATGTAAACCAACATGCACAAAATTAAATTTTGCTGGATACACACGTTTTTGTTAATGTGCTTTAGCAAAATTTATAACGTGGGGCATAAAAATATATGCATGCATACACAAACTTTTGCATTCACAATTTTTTAAAACTGCATACAAAAAATGTTATTCTTTTTTGCCGCATTGGCGCGCCATAGCATGTGACTGTTGTAGACCATGGCATTCTATCTAGGCGAATTCTAAGCTATGCACCCCTGAGAGCATAAACCAATAGTAATATGAGGTTTAATTTGAATGAATTATGAAATAAAAGAGTTATTTCATGTCCCACATGAAAATGGACAATGTGGCCCTTCGAAACTATAGCATAAAAAAACAATGGCTTTTTTGTGACCGCTCACAAAAAAGGGGTTCACTGCAAAACAGAATGTCTTTATTGCTCGATCGGGGCCTTTTACTTTCAGCACATCATCGAGTTCACTGGTTTTTCAAAAAGGCAAAAATTGACAAACAATTATGAATGAAGTCGCGAAAACATGATGCAGAGCACGAGGATGTCAAAACTGGAGTCAAAGTCATGTTTAATGATTTTAATCTCAATAAATGAAAAAAATTTGCAGCAACTTATGCTAGAGGCATATAAATGTATCACTTCTGGGAGCTCCTCCTTTCTGTTGAAGTTCTTCAAAAGAAAACTGCTGCCAAATAAATTAAGAACAAGCGACCTTCTACAAATTCCTAAAACTAGGACTAATTAATATGTTAACGAGTCTCTTTCATTCAAGGATAGCATAGTTTGAAATCGGCTTCCAGACCAATATAAAGCAACAGAAAGCGAAAATTAGTTCAAAATGAAAAACCTAAGGTTGGAAAGAGTCCGGATGTTACTGCCGCGATTGTATTTCAAAGATTAACTCTGGAAATAGTGTAAATAGGGTAATATTGGCCTTTATTAGCACCAGCTATTTTATAGCCAACTATAAATAAATTGCGTTATCATTATCATTATTACTATATGTCATCTTGCTGCTGCGGATACGCATTTATCTTTGTTCGAAAATTTAAAAACAAAATTTATTTACTATAAGTACAAGTAGGCCACTTAAACGGTCAAGATATCGAGTGAGATGCTTCTCTTATCTTATCTTACTTTGAGATATCAAAATGGCCAGTGATCAATAATTCAATCATTTAATGCTTGGAGCTGTATAGAATCTCCTCTTCAACTTCAAAGGAAAGTAGCCACCATCTAAGATCCCTTTTATCAACTGCAAATATTTACAACGTATGGTGGCAAGAAACAGAAGGGACTAAGAGAACTAATGGCTCTTCGTCTCATTTGATACTTGAAAGTAATTAAAGCTTCACACATTCACTGCCAGATTTAATGCTTACGTTGGAGCTCAAGAGACTCGGTAGAATGAATTTGTTGATTTAGTAAGAAATGTTGACAAAACGGCAAAAAACCAAAAGATGCAGATCCCAGCTAGGAAATGTCACCTCAGACTTGTTTAAGACATGATTACTGGGTTCCAGGCTTTAAAAAGAGGTTTTGCAATAGATTAAGTTACAAGGTATTATATGCTAACAATGTTGAGATGCAAACGCCAGCAGGTAGCTGCCTGCTTAGGCTACTTCTAGAATTGAGGCCTTTCAAAGATGTATTGCAACAGGCTCATGTACACAAAATTAAAAAATTACGTAAAATTTATGAAAGTACAAGGTTTGATATGTTGACAATAATAGAATGCAAATCCAAGCTGGTAAATGCTCTCTTAGGTTACTTTTAAGGCTTGAGTACTTGGCCCAGGCCTTGAAAAGAGTTTTTGCAATTAATAGAATTGAACAAATTGGCAAAATCATGAATATATTGATGAAAACAGACAGTTTGATAGGCTGAAACAGATATCATGCAGCCCTATCCGGTAACTAGCCCTATCATGTTTCTAAATACGTAAATTATAATAAATTATACACAGTGAGACAGACATATCAGCTAGACAGCGGGATCTGGGTCTATATTTAATCACCTAGTTAGATATGCAAAATGTTAAGAAGAGGCGACATCATCTCTATTGCTTTCCCAGAATTGTGAAACATATCTCTACCTGCAAAGGAATGCTTCTGGAACTTTTTCCAATACAGCAGGGTTTTCTGGTGTATCATGATAGAAATGCATTGCTCCACCATTTCCAATGGATTGCTGAAAACAAGAAATAGAATAACCTGAGCTAAAATTGTTTTCAAATGATCTTTATTATTCATACCAAAGCTAAGGGTTCTATTTTGAATATGTACATATTGTTGTTTCACTATAAAATAGGAAGCTTGGGTAGCTGAAAAGGGTTTATGAAAAGATTATTAAATAACAGTGCAAAACTGATAGCAAAGCTAGGTAGCTACCACATTCTGTAGCTGAATGTGTGTGAACAAGCTGGTTCATTAAATAGCACATACTCCATTAAGTAGTGAACGAATGGCACAGGAAGTTCCCCGAGGAGCGGAGAAGCGGGGGAGCCTCTAGTAGTGAAACCCACGGGGTGTGTTCCAGTTCTGGTAAATGGAAGTGTGAGTTGAGAATAGTTATTGTTACGGCCAATCGGGGCCTTTTCCGTTATAGTTTTGAATACAGCAAACAAGTGAGAAAATCACACGATTTAAATCTGTTCCATTCAAGGGTTGTTCTCTATCACTTGACCACACCACCTAAAAAAATCGAAGACTTGAGCATAATTTGCACAATTTCAACACCTTGGGCAACAATTGCTACCTTAATACACAAAAATCGAATAATCAACCGTGTACCTTGGAGAACGGGTTAATGACGTCAGCTGAAGAGAACATAGTCAGTGCCTTCCACCAGATTCAACGAGGAAAGGTTCTTTTCAAATTCACCCTTTGTCAGATTCTAGGATTAGATAGCGAAAATTATCATTTTTAATAGCATGTGGAAAATTGAAAAAAATGATTGGGGCTAAAGTTTTGTTTTCCAAATCTACTATTTTCTATGAGTAAAAGGCCTTCAGTATTAAACAACAGTACCCCCTTACTCCCTTCGGCGCCCTTCGGTACCTGCAATTACATGTTGATCATTCAACTATAAGAAGCATAAGATAATAGGACTTTGTTACAGAGAAGGAGAGCCCAAAATAGGATAAAACTAGCTTCATTAATGATAGGTCAGCCCAAAATGTGCGCTGAAAAGTGTCTGCAGCAAAAAAAACTGATTTCTTCAAATCCTTCCGATTAAATATTCATAATATAGTAAAATTTTCTAGTGTCAAGCTAAGATCTTTTCCAAAATAAGTATCAGGATCTGACGAGATCTCGTCCTATTATGGAGTGGCAAAGTGACGATATAAAAAAAATTATTCTTTAAGTTGTTGAACTTTGACCATATGACCTGAAACACACCATAAATCAACGAACTACATTAATTAAAACGTAGTTAAAGTATGCCTAAAAATTGTAAAAAAGTTTAAAACTTTTGAAAGAAAATTAGTGCAAGAAATATTCAGAATGTATTTAAAGCTAATATAAAAGGCGAGGCCGCAAAAATTTTCAGCTTGCTTCGCTCCAAGGGGACCTCATCTTTCCGCTTTGTCCCAGGGCCTCCGAAACCTCTCGGTGGTCAAAAGTAAAATATTACACTGCAATAACTGTAATCCAGTAAAAACTGTAATAATGAAAAAACTGTATTACTAAGGCTAAAGGGAGTCTGGAAACTTACAATCTTGACACAGATGACCATAGGGGGAACTGCGTCCTTAAAATGGATGATAGGAACAATGGGTACACAGTCACCATCCTGAAACAAAAACAGCAAGTTCGAGTTAAAGAAATACAGCAGGCATACGAGCCCAGTTGAGCAGATAGTAACAAAGCTCTGTCTGTCTGCAGGAAATGAAGTCGTTTTCGATCAATGAAGAGTAATTCTCGGTCTTGAAAATTGGCAACATTTTCCATTTTAATAATCTTTATCATTAATATCAGCATGTCCGTAATGCTCTTTGGCATGGGGGTTCTCAAATTTCGTACAGAAGTAGAGTACTCATTCCTGTTGTGATCTTGAGCTGTCTAAATCCTGAAACTTTTCTCACATGACATAGAGTGAACCTAATGCTATGGTAATACTAACTGAACACAAAGCCCGTGTGCAAAAATAAAGCAAAGCAGTAACAAGCTCAGCACATATTTGAAACGTGGAAGCAATGAAACAATTTATGGACCATCAGGATTATGATTATGATTTTGATCATGTTAAGGCAATGAAAAATATAACAGAGAAGAAATGACTTAAATAGCTTTAAACAAATAGCAAAGAGAAAGAAAACATGTTAAATCTAAGCTACATCGAAATTTTGGTAGGAAAATAACCTAGTGGTAAAAAATCATAGAATTTTATAGTGCATTTTGTACTGGAATGGTTTCATTACCCTTGAAAAATTTAAAGATATCATCTTGAAAGGGAATTGCTGACATTTTACATTTTCTTTCAGAATCAATTTCAGTACCCTCTTTCATATCGTGAAGGATGGTTGAATCTAATCGCAGCCTAACTTTAATTATTCACGATAGCGACGGATCAAATCAAAGACCAGGTAATGTAAAAACATTGCATCATAAAAGTGACCTTCAACAGCTCACATCTGTATTCTCCTTTTGATATTTTCTTCTCATCAACATCACACAGTGCCAAGACCTGTCGACATGGGAAAACAATGTCTTATCACAATTGACTTTCTCAAAAAATTGTAGCTTTTCAGGAACTGGAAATATCGCAACAAGACATGCACACACACATAAACGCCTAAAATATTTCCTATTTGAGATATAATCGATCTAAAATTCAAATCTTCAAAGGAAACTATATCTGCTACGCAGTCATAATGAGAAATATTTTATGACAAGGTAGATAATAAAAAGGAATATCAATGTAAAATATATTAAAGATAGAGTGTATTAAGGGTATTAAAGCCCAGCTGAAATCTTTAAAAATTGTTAGACCGTTACATTCTAGTTATATTCAAAACCAAATTTCAAAAATGATTATGGTGTAAATTTTACCAGACACTTGCTAAAATGCGCAAATGACTTTGGTAGTAGCCTGTTGCTTAAACTGGAATTTTGGAAGAATTCATGATAGAAGTGACGATGGTCTTAAGGGGGGGGGGATGGGGGCCTTAAGTATAATATACAATTAAGAATACAGCAAGCTTGACAAAAATTATGATGAGGAAAAGATCTAATGCATGTTCGTCTGAAAAATGGACAATATTTTCATGAAGATATGCCAATGCTCTTTGGGTAACACAGAATAATTATCAATCTTTCTCATTTGACAAATTGTTTCGGAAATTGACAAATTGCTTGCCAGAGCAGAGACAGTCATTGCTTTGCTCTGCATCTGTATCTCTTATTCTAATTTCCAACAGTATATTAGAATAAACTGGGTAATTGCATAAGGTAATGGAATCCACCCATAAAGTAGTAGCTGAGAAAAGCTGAGATCTATATACATAGTTTAATCGCCTTTCGAGTAGAAATACCTTGCCGCGATCCTTCTGAGTGAGTGATCGATAAAATCTTCGACCTTGCTTGCCTGCATTCCAAATGGTAAAATTTTGCCACTTTGAAAGAACTTCAACCTCAAGGTGGCTCAACCGTATGTCCCATATCGTTTCTTCGCTCACACTGAAGGAGGCTGCATTTTCATGATATCGGTACAATAAAAGCGTCTCTTGGACACGGTAAAGTTTGCCGTTGTTCTTCAAATGTTTGTAAAAAAACGTCAGGTCCTCGGGATGACCCTTGTGTGAAAATGAAAAACTTTAGAATGACAGCAAAGCAATTGAATACCTCTGCATAAACTTTACAAATGGGTAGCAAACTCATTTTACAGGCAAAATCTCTCGTATATTTACTTTGTGTTACTAGTGGGCAGATTTGAGAAGGAACGTAGAAGGAACTGAAAATTCGAACGTTACTTACCTTGCCGATCTCATCAAAATAGCCAAGATATTCAATTAGATCTCTAGAGCAAAACCATGTTGGTTGTATCAGCGTTGGTCCAAAGGATGTATAAATCTACGAGGCATCATAGAAGATAATCATCATTCATAGATACTGACCAAGCCTGCAATTCCTATGCATTAAAACAGGTTTGTACTCAAGAACAGTAGTCGAAGCATTTTGAGACTATCTTCTAAGAATTCGATATGCCAAATGCATGTACGAAATGGAAATCACGCAGAAAATATTACGAACTTGCTTGGGATTGAAACTTAAAGCCGAATACTAATGCAACTCTAGTTTAAGATCACCAAACGCTTTTTAATGATGGGCAAATGTAAGAGAGATGCTGTACACGGCAGTATCTTATTTTGCATGTTACAACTACTGTTGGTAGATGAAATATAAACACACCTGGGTAGAAAGCTGTATTTGTGAAAGGCTGTTGTGCCATGTTGTGTATCTTGGTGTTGAATCATCTGGAACTCTTTCAAAATTGCAGCCAATTATCTAATGAAAAGAACGATGATCTAACCAGTGATAATCAGATCTCTGTGCTTTGTATTCAGGTTCAACCCCCCTCATTCCTTGTGCATATAATCAGGTCTTCATGACTGACGCATGACTGACAAGAAGAGCTTGACGCACACATTAGCAGAATAATTATTACCCAACGATTGCAATAGGTAACGTTAAAATAAAGATTGGAATTAACACTCTTTAAAATGAATTTTGCTTATTACTCAATAACCCTAAAACGATACAATAAAGCAAGATAAGGGGGTAAAGAGGACTAGGAACAAAAACTACAGTTGTGTTTCATAAAAGCAATCAATTTGGAATAAGATGTAGGCTTATCGGTAGTAGCATTGCTATACAATTGGTATTCATATTTCAAGGCCAGTGGAGTGGAAAAAATAATCTTGATATAGATTCAACTATTTCAGGTGTATTTTCAAGCAAAAAATAAGAGATATACTTACAGTATTCCAATCTAGTGCCAAGGCCACCTTCAACTGCAGTTCAAGTCTTTTCGACAGCATAACATCATCCTGTCAGGTCAATATATCCTGATACTGGCATATATAGATTTTGATGATAATATTCAAATCATTAAATTTCTAACAATACGTTTTTCACTAGAAACATCCAGTGAACCACAAATAACTGCTGTACTTAGACATACTGAGTCTCAGCAAAAATGTTTACATCTTCATTTACTGAGTCTCAAATGAATGTCTTTACTTACTGAGTCAAAGAAACAAATGTATTTGCCATTACTTTGCCTGATTGCAGCATTCTTTGCAGCCCCAACTAGAACAAAAGCCAGAATCAGGGATAAAAATATGTTTGAAACCAGCAACTTAGTTTAATTTTGTTCAGTAGCAAATAAAGCACCACATTGGGACTCCTATTAAAATCCTCAAAGAAACTACTAAAACAAGATCTCAATGCCATTTGAGTTTATGAGCTTAAGAAATATTTACAATTGTGTGTTATATGTGTTTTCATAAATAAATATTTTGGCTTTTTCAGCCTAGACATTTAAGGGGTGGCAAAATAGCATGATATTCATAAAGTTCTGTGTTTTATAGATTTCATGGATATATCAGGTGCAGCTTAAGGCTTGTAGGAAGCTTTTGTACAAACCTATTGTGGCCAGAAATACTGACATGGCCAAAAATAGGCTTTAGATTTCTATTGAAAATTAACAGTGAATGTATGACATACCGCCACTAGGTTTACCAGTTTTGTTGCTACCAATTGTGACTTTCACTAAAAGCTTTTCCAAAACAATTTTCCATTTGTCAATGATGTATCGAGAGCTATCCTTGAAAGTGGCAAAAAGGGAAAATAGAGTATGAGGTGTCAATTTCTGTTGGTTCCTTATATACAAGAAATTTAATAGATTAGTATCAATTAGAAGTATGTATATCAAGTATACACATTAAACTCAAAATTTCAACTGCTTTCAATAACAGTATAATAATATTCTTGATAAGGAAGGTACATTGCCCTGCTGATAAATGCATTCATTATATGAAATATTATGGCGATTTGCCAATGAATATAATATTTCCTTGGCATAAAGGGTGCTATTCCTTTGATAGTCTTCAGACTGCTAGACTAGTACCTCTTTTAAGGAATACAATAAAATATTATGCAGATTAGAAATAACTACAAAAACACAATCTTTCATGCAATCTTTCATATATTTTCATGCAATTGCAGTAGTAGAGCTTCAAAATAAACAAAAACAACTGGACTGGATAGAATACATGTGCATACACCAATTCGACTTACGACCTCTCTTTGGAAATTTCTCCAAATTTAATCATAAGACTTTTTTAAGCTCAGATTTGGTTTTATCGTCATAATTTTAGGCGGGATACCATTTTTCATATTGTTTGAGCTTGTATTTTAGATTTTACCGAGAAATGAAGTTTGAAAACTTGTAAGGGATTTGACTGCAAAAATCGTTTCGGGGGGAAACTTTACCCCCCTAGTCGCCAATCACAGTCAAATCCCTTATAAAGTTTTTATCTTTATGTCGTCATAAAATGAATATTGTGAGCAATATCATAATAAAAACTTACAAGTAGACTAAAATCATTGCTGTCAATCCGAATCTGAGGTCAAAAATTTTGTACAAAAGAATTTTTAAAAATGAGGCCGTAAGTTGAATTGGTGTATTAGAATACACTAGCTTCATCAAAGAACTTTTTATAGAATTCATAACTCAGTAGAAGAATATTTCATTCATTTTCTTAGTTTAGACTGTTAATGTGTCAAAGAGAAGCAAAAAGGAGGTCTAACAAAAAACTTACAGTGGAAGCATCATCATAAATTGAGACCTCAAGTGACTCTCTCCATGTCTGCTGGCAGATTGATTCCAGTGCTGCATCTAGCCATTGCTCTGCATTATATACAGGGATCACAACAGACTAAAAAGACACAGGCACACATGTTTGAACTCATAAATGACTGATTAGTTTACATGCGCTGATCACTTGCTTTTGCAGAAATGCCAATAAATATTGCTGATATAAAACTTTTAGTTGAACCACAAACTTTTACAAAAGCACCTAAATCATTTGCTAACACAAACCAGGTGATTTTGACCACTTAAAAAGTAGTGCATGGTTATGCATCAATTAAGCCTAGGTTCACCAAGCAACTTAACAGTTGTTCCATTTCCTTATCAACCAATATTAAGCTATGAAAGTAGATGCTTTAAAAACTGGCATATTCAGATTTATTTTGCATAGAACAGCCCAGATCTCTAGAAAAATTGACCAATTTTCAAATTGATCAGGTCTGATGCGACACAAACTTTGAGTACTGTGATGTTTTATGTTAAAAAGTTTTTAGTCTACACATGGAATAACTTTTAAGTGGGAACTTAGCCTGCTTGGGTAAGGGTTACAGTTGAATTTGACAAATACATCTTTATGCTGAATGTCCTAAATGTGTTTACACATATATGCATACCCTAACACATCATCCTAATTGTGCATAAATTAGTGAGCAGTTTCTGAAACACTAACAAATAAGCAACAAGGAGGAAATTTGATGTAAGCAGCATATCTCTTGGTTTTTTACCATAATAGGCAAACAACTTCTTAAGCGTGAGAGTGATGATGATTAAAGCTGCAACTTTGGATCCTAAAATTTGGGAATTATCCAACAAGGATTGATTGCTAATAAGGTTTTACATTTTGAGCTTTAAGAACTTACAAAATAATTTTTTCTAATTTCAGCAAATTGATACTGTCTCAGACTTGCCCAAATGTGCAACAAAAAATCTATTTTTAACGTTTTTTGATAAAAAGATAGGCCTAGAATTTGAAACCAAATTCGATAGCACACACCGTACAGTACACACACATACACACACAACATGGAAATTTACAGATCCAAAATCAATACCTTGTTTTAAAAAAAGCATTCACTGACAAGATCTCCCATTCCTAACTCTTATGTCCATTAGATGCAATGCATGAAGAAATTAATTTGTGAGGTATCTTTGAAAACAAAATTTGAAATTCACCACAGAAAAGAATCAAAGCATCAACTACATCATGCAGCTCAACGTCTATATTATATTCCTAGAGTAAATGCCTTTTACTTCCCTTTGCATTTTGTCAATGCCAAAAAAAGAATCGTTAATATCTAGAGTGGGTAGTCTGTTTTTATGGAACAGTCAGTTGAACTGTCAAGTGTTTTCTTCAAGAGAATATAATCCTTTATTTGGTCAATTGCAGTATTTTCTTATCCATCAAGTATGCAAAGTGTCCCCTATATTAAACGCATCTTTGAACAAATACCCCTAACAAGGGCATGAGAAATCAAAGAATCCCAGGCTGTTTTTCACAATACCAAATGTCAACCATGTGAAATGTACCATTAATGGTACATTTCACATGGTTGACATTTGGTACTGTGAAAAACAGCCTGGGATTCTTCACCCTGAGCAGAATAGAATAGAGTTGTAAGAAAAACTTAACGACAAAATGGCTATTTACCACTAAGATCTGGGATTCGCAGGTGCTTCTTTTGTTACAGGTCACCTTCATTGTTATTTGGAAGAAAAATTTTAAGGTGTTCATGCAATCCCATGCTATCGAAATTTGTTGTCAGCTCCACTCGAAACTTTTACCACATGGTTGTTTTTCCTTCGAGAGTGGTTGTTGTTGTTGCTGCTGTTGTTGTTGAATTGCAATTTTCTTGAAAAAAATGTTATTAGAAAATGAAAATTAATCATGAGCCAAACCTTGAGTTGAGCTTTTCATCCACATCTCGGTAAAATTAGAAAAAATCGCTGAAAATTTATCCTAACATACGTAGTATGCTGGTGACCTCATCTCATGCATACCGATGATCTCATTCTTACATCTGAACAAGCCTATGCGTCTTTTTTCAAGAAACACTTTCTTAATATGTATACAAATATGACACACTTTCTCAAACCAAATCTTTAGTATCCTTTGAGAACAAAACCTTTTGGAGTCATTAACTGAAACATACAGTTAATATGCCTATACCTATTCTTGTTCAATTATGTATTAGTTAGTTTCGATTAAAAACTTACTCCAAACATTTGAATTCTTTTTTCATTTTTGAAAATGTACTTAGATGTACTTTGTCAGGAAATAATATATAAATTATACAATAAGAGCTCGTGAGATAAGAACATGGCTTTCTCAGCGAACCTCGAATGTGTCATGTGACTACGGTTTTTTCTCGACTCCCTGTGACACAATTTTCGCGGGAAAACGTCATATTGTATCATACTCTAAACATTCCAAATCTTGGTGTAGATGAAACGCAAAGAAACAGTGATCAGATTTCTATGAAAAATCATGATATTTTATATTTGACAATTTGGATTTTACTCTCTGCGATTTAAAAAAAATTGTTACAATACTCGGTAAGTAAGATAAAATCTTGAATCAATAGAATCCTTGTTCTCGTGCTTGATGAGATAACGCGTGCTTGAAGGATCTGTTTAGCAGCATAAAAAGCATCATCTACGTGATTCACAATGCAAGTCTTGTACCAGGGTTGCCAGATGGGGTTTACAAAAAAGGCCAAAGATTAAAAAAACCAAGGCCAAAATATGTATAAAAAGATAAATAAACTGCACAATCGTTTATATTTATGTATTGTACATATTTAACTAACTCGAAAACAAACTGAGAAAGTTTCTCCTTAGAAAACAATTCATTTGCTCACCCTTAGGCTAGATAATGCTTTTTTTACATTTGGAATTACACTTTGTTTTCATGCTCTTTCAATTTAAAGGATAAGATTGCTGTTTGCCTTTGAGTTGATAGAAAACAAAGGAATGTCCTCAAATTTTTGACGAGAAAAGACCAAATGAGGCTAAATTTAAGTGGTAGGCCCGACCAAATTTTCCAGGCAATTTAGTTAAAGGCAATCTGTGACGACGTTGATTGATTATAAGAACAAAGGGATTTTTTATTGTTTCCAGTCCCCCTTTAATTTATCGCATTGTAAAAAATATGGCGGAGCGCTGGAATCGTGTTTAGGCTATTGTTCCAGCTATTGTTCTCGTCAACAAATCCACAACGAGACAGATTGCCTTTAAACTGGAAAATTTGGCCTTGAAATGGCCAATCTGGCTTCCCTGTTTGGTACTGTTTTGTATAGGTGTCTTCTTTGCTAATTAGTGAAATACTGTATGCCTCTTTATGTACTGTACGCCGGAGTTGTTTTCCATTGTAGGGTAGTGTCCGATATCTGGAAGTCACTTTTACAAGACTATGATAGCAGGAAAGATGCGTTGGACAAGCTTTGTAGTCCGTTGTAAGTAGATCTGCAAGGTGTTATCACAGGTAACAAACTTTTTTCTGCAGAATGGGGGTGCCCATTATTTGGAAGTGTATATTACCTGGATCCTTTTATCAAAATCACCACCGATTAGGTCTATCACTCATAATACTAGTGTTGTGATTATGGCATTTCCTGGCTTTTTAACAGCGTTTTCAAAACTAGAGGGGTTACGATATACGGTTTTGCCATCAGAATCAACAAAATATTGAAAAAGCAACTATATGCAATACATAATCAAGCGAAGAAACCTTGATGATTGATTAACCTAATGAAGCATCTGTGTTATAATTATTAAATTACTATTTAATGCTTAACATATATTTATTAAAAAATGTTAACAGTTAAACGTGCTACACAAACAAAGGTTATAACAAAGCAAACTCTAAAAGATTACACGTAGCCTCAACCATGTTGTATCCAAGTTCTAAACGTGTACACAGAGACGGGTAACAGAGATCTTTCTCTCGAACGAACAATTTTGCTTTGCGAAGTGCTTCCGATATTACCAACGGCCAATCTGGACGGGGACTATCGCAGATTTGCACTATATCCAACATATTTGGAAATGGCCGTATTGCCTCTCTTTGCACACTATCCAGCAGTACGGCAAACATCATTAGTGTCACGATGAATTCAACAAGCTCGTTTTGAAGGTTAACACCTACAACAAATGAAATTAAACAAATCTTAAAGAACCACGTATTGAAAGCCTGTGACAATTTACGTACAAGTTTCGGACTTAAGTCTACAATGCCTACAAATGTCTTGGCACCCATCACTAGGTCTTTGGCGGTTATTTGCTATTGGCAGCACAGCACCCACTTCCCCCTTATGCTTAAGCCATGCTTAAAATGAACTTCAGCTTCAATGTTGTAAAATTAACTCCTGTTAGCTAATTAGGATAACCATCCTAGAGGGACTCTGCTGTCATATACGTCTACCAGATAGTCAATGGACTTTTAGCATCAGAGCAGATTTAACCAAATGAATAGCCAAAAAAGCCTTTGATACAATCATACTAAAGTTCTGCCGACACTAGTACTAGATAGAAATCAAAGTTCGGCAAATGCTGATCTATAGAAATATTGGTCAATTTTCATTACTTCAATATAAAAAGTTTCCAGTGTTAGCCATAGAGAGGAAAGAATTGTGTACTTTATCAGCGTAGGCGTCAACTCAAAAGTAAGGGAAATAAAATATTTTCTTCGCATAGATTTTCTCATTCTTTCATCATGTGGTCAACGATTTGAATGTGCTACAATTTTCACTTGGAAAAATATAAACATGCCAACAAGTAATCATCTGATGGTATATCGATCTTTGAAGTCCGCAGAAATCACACTACATGTTCTTATGTAATTTGTAAAAAATCAATTTCAGGTTAGGCCACTTTTTGGAGAGACCTGAGTTCCATGAACTAAAAAGTACCCCAATGATGAAAGCAAAAAGCTACAAAGACATAAGAGCCCAATGTTAGTATTGATATTTTTGGAAACGATATCAATGACTCACCTAGTGACTTGATTCCAACGGTTTCAAGTAACTTCAGAAGGTGTCTTTTGTTACTATTAAAGAAGACTTCATCGATGTCCCATGAACCGCTCTGTTGAATTGAGATAATTGTTGTCTTTCAAATAAGCTGTAACTTATATTTGAAAATCAAAGCTGATACAAAATCACTCCTAAAGAAATGCTATACATGCTTATTACTTTATCAATTCATCATTAATCTATGGCTTATGAGTATTTGGGAATGCAGGTGATAACCAATGCTAGATAGAGGAATGTGGTTTACACAAATTTGATTGGTTTAATTCGATGGGGACTCCCGCTGCGGTGTTTCTTTTGGCTGTCAATCAAAAAGTTACGTCTACCTATGCGTCTACGCTGTGGGTAAAGAAACACTGGAAACCGTTTCCTGCAAAGCAGCCTCTTAAAATTCATTCATTGTCTGCATATAAAAGCTCAAAAAGTTAAGGCATTTTGAACAGATAGAATATACTAAAAGGATGCACAAAATTTAAAGCCTTCAAATAGATTAAAACAAAGGATGCTTCTTGATATTCATGAATTTTTTTACAAGTGCTTGGACAGTCCCCGAAAAAATGAAACACAAGATTCTTCGACAAATAATGCAAAGCGCACACGCAATTACAGCGTTTCATCGAAAACACAAGAACGCAGTGAATTCTCTAACTACATTCATTACCAATGCATTGGGGTGAAATGGGCAAACAAAGGCTGCCCAGTAAATTGTCCCAACATTCTGTTTCACAAATAGAATATGCAGGTTTGTACTCACCTCCTTCTGCTTGCTGACAAGCAAATTTAAATCCAACATATTGACATCAAAAAGAGGCTGGGTAAACTCTACTTCGTCCATCCAGGGCCTGTCTTTGTATTTATTCGGTAAAATGAAACCGATACCTGTACAAAAAAAAATAAAAAGCCTTCAAACAATTTTTATTTTCTTTTCACTAGGTTACAACAATCATGTTTTGTTACAATGACTTATATGTTTTTAGACTAATTAGAATTCTGCTGGATAAACAAAACAGAAAATTCATCTTCCATGGGCAAGAAAAGTTATGGAAGTATGCTTGTCTGAATATTACAGAAATGAAAACTGAACGAACGGTTGGAATGTTATCTGACAAAATGACCTCAATATTTTTATAGCGATATGCAGTCTCTTTAGAATACCATAACAAAAAACAATAGAAAAACATCTGGTGAACCTTTAAAAATGCCTGTAGTTTTGTCTTTCGTTTCTGAAGACAGTCGACAAGCTAGAAGCAGAAAAAAATAACGATTTTAATAACAATGTAAGGCGTTGTTAAAAATGGATAGAGCATTTGTCAGAAAGATGTGTTAACAGACCAACAATACGATTTTCGAAATATACGTCTTAGAAGAGATTAGGCATTATATCACAGACAGCAAGTCATATAAATATGACATTAGGGAGAGTACAGTTCCACGCCATTAGAGTTGTCTTTCTGTGAAAATGAGGCTTATGCACATAGTCCTATGAGCAAGAGGTAGTAATGAATTAATCACTGATCAATATGCAAATGCAACGGATTAAGATAGGATTATGACCTAAAAAAGACATTTTAGATTGCTGAAAGTCTATCTGCATACCAAAATCTGAAGATTGACGTGTTAGGCCAGACAGAAAGTGAAGAGGTTCTTCTGGTGGTAAAGGCAGTTTTTTTTTCTTTTTCTTGGGAAACATTTGTGATTGTCCTAGAGCAACAAGAGATTTTCGTAGTAAAGATTCGCTCTGAATATTTGCTGCTTGTTTTTGGGCTAGTTTTATACAGCGTAGCTGAGAAGATTGCATCATTTTTTCTGGCGGTATTGATTGCAATGCTCCGCCGGCCTGTGGTGGTGCGGATGCAGAATGTTGCCAAGGCGGCAGTGGTGGCGATCCAGGCTGCATTGATAGAAGTGGCTGTTGTGCAAGTTGACGCGGTGGCGGTGGCGGCATCGGTGGTGCTCCAGGCTGCATTGATAGAAGTGGCTGTTGTGCAAGTTGACGCGGTGGCGGCAGCGGTGGCGCTCCAGGCTGCATTGATAGAAGTGGCTGTTGTGCAAGTTGAAGCGGTGGCGGCAGCGGTGGCGCTCCAGGCTGCATTGATAGAAGTGACTGTTGTGCAAGTTGACGCGGTGGTCGTGGCGGTGGCGGTGGGGTTTCAGACTGTAATGCATTGCTAATCTGTGGTGGTGATGGTTGAGGTCCTATTGGTACTGATCCTGGTGGTGGTATACAGCCTGATGGAGATCGAGAATTTCGCATCGTGTTAAAATAGGAATTGAACCATTAGCATACAAGCTTTTCAAATAATGCACAAACAATGAAAAAGCCACGGCATCATGACCCTGCGACGAGGTTCTTTGATACGAATATCTAGTCTATGATATAGTGAATGATATAGAGATGAGTCATGTCTTCATGAACGCCTTCTGAGCGCCATTGGATTCCTAGGTTTATCATTTCGTATTGAAAAAACAAGGAAAGAAATCATATAGTTTGAAACTAGTGTTACTAATTTGCAACATATATGCGGCTGTCTACAAGCTTTCATAACTAGAAACGATTTCAGCATTACGGAGTGAAACTTGACCTAACTGCTCTGCAATTGGCAACTTTCGACAACTTTTAAGGGACAGGTATACCACTCCACAGATCCTGAGCGCTAACAAGACAACACTGAAACAAGATTAGAGCCTCCTACACGTCACATCCTAGAGCCCACAATACATTACATACTACAGCTTACAATACACCGCATAAGGACATGACATCATCTTAGCTACAAGTATATAGTTAAAGCACGTATGTAGCCAAAAACGTAAAGAATTTTACACTTACACTCATACACTGCGTCCATTTCTTCCAAAGGTCTTATTATTTCAGAACGGAAGCTTCTTTTATGTTCTCCAATGGAAGCACCTTTGCGTGCTGCACCAAAGAGCATGGAACCCATAGGTTTACTTCTTGACTTTAATTCTGCAAAGGTGACCCAAAGTGAAATTTCAGAGAACCAAACACTAATATACACACTTTGTTACATTGGAAAAATAATTATTCCTTCATTCTATTTTCTTCTTATAGCTTCACATAAAACATAAAAGAATCAAATTTTTCGTGGTGCAAAAATTAAAAAGGGCTTTGAAAAAAAGAAAAAATCTTAAAAATACTAAAAATTTCCGTCTGACACTCCAGAGTCTAAAATATCAGAATATAGATCGAGAAAACTAAGCCAGGATATATGTATAAACCCATTTTTGGATTGAAACAGGCCATTCAGAATCGCGAGTACACCACGGTAAAGGTTTCCCAATCATAGAAAATATAGTCGAAGGGTGAAAATGAACTCCTGTCTACGCAATACCGGTTTTTTCACTTTTATGCAGATAGATTGTAAATCTGCTAAATAGAACGGTGACCGGGCTCTATCAATGTTGCCATCGTGGGTTTTGGTACAATCTGGGTTTTCCAGGAAAATGCTGTCCGATAGCAGAAGCGGAAGAGTTCATTTCTAAATTATATTTCATCATGTTAATCTAAGTATGATTTTTACAAAATATTAACTACATACCATATGGTTTAGACGCCTCTTCATGAATTTTCTTTACTTCTATATTTGCAATCTTTTCAGTGAAGGCTAACTCGTCCATCATGCCTTTTAAGCAAAATTACAAGACTAAAGATGTTGTAATATGAATTAATGTAAAAGCATGTTTACGTGAAACTTGAGTTTTAGATTTATTTTGACCCAATGAAGCTTTCAATAGAGATGGGCACTATGCTATCTTTAGTGCCTTTAAGACATAGTAAGATTCAATTATGGTAACTGTATCTTATAATAAGGCAGTTATTGTGTCTAGTACACCACTGTGTCTTATAATGAGGTCATAGTTTGCCCAGACCTGTCTTGCTAAAAATCTATCTAGAAAATCAATTGCTGCAGAGTCTGACTTGATAACGGGTTATGCTCGAAACGTCGTTATTTATTTTAAACAAATTTTTCCTGGTACAATTTACTTACATTGGTCGTTATTATAGCATCATATTGTACCGCACGCATTTTAGTATATTTGGAGAGTTTGTTCGACTTGATCTAAGCTTTAATGAATCAAAAAGGAAATTTCATCTTCCCACGGAAGAAAATAAATCAGACAGAAAAACTGCTCACTTGGTGCAGACAATTGTACACAAGATTTCGTTTCTTCTCGGCTAATGGCAAGAGCGGCTGAAACAAAATGGGGTATAAGAAGAAATGCTCGATATAGAAAATTAAGTGATTAAATTTAATATATGAAAAGTAAATATGAGAAATAGCAAGTCTCTTGAAAATACTTGCATAATTTTCAGACTTACAATTGGCAATGTCTTCGTCGTCTGCAAAAATATCCTTCTTTGCTGATTTCTTAATGGACTTCGTTGCACTCGATTGGCTTTCAAAGTTGGTTGTTTCAGCTTTTATTTTGTGGCATGCAACTTGAAGAAAAAAATTATCGAAATCAAAGCGCTGATATCTAACTAACTTGATATGAACAATGTAATGATATATAAAACATGAAAACGTAATTTCATTGCAACGGTTCATTTTAAAGTTTGAAAATCCAAATTAAATTAACTATATCAATATATTATTTCGGTTCATTTTTAAAAATTTCTTGAAAATACTTGCATAATTTCTAGACTTACATGCAAAAATGTCTTCATCCTTGTCTGCAAAAATGCTCTTTTTTGCTGATTTCTTTGTACTTGGCTTGCTTTGAATCTTACTCATCCTAAGAAAGCTTTCAGTTTTTTCAGCTTTCAGAAAAAGATATCGAATAAAAAGGCTGGTTTGGAGAAAAATCTTTTTTAGGATCTAAAGTTAAAAATTTCAACTCATTCACACAATCCTAAAATTTGTAAAGGGCAAGGCCTAGAGGGCCATTCTAAAGTATGATTTAAAATGAAGACACTTATTTTCTACACTAAGTTAGAAATACAGAAATATACTATATCGTCGGAACGTAACTCATATTGGAAGGGGCTGTCCATTCATTCGCTTCTCTGTTGTAGATAACATAGAACACAGTGTGATAATTATTGCCCCAAGCCCCCAATTCTGACTGCCCCGATAAGAATTGCTCACCAGAGGCTCGAGATGAGTCTGTAGTAATTCCTTTTCGCTTCACTTCTACATGTGCGCTACCGAACGTAGTTTTCTTTCCAGCTAAAATGTAAAAAGCTCGTAGGAAAAAATCACTTGATTAACGACAATAAATATTTCCTTAACCATGTAACATAGAGCAGTATTTTTATGCCACTGATTATGCTATAAATTTTTTTCAGCAAAATTTATCTACAGAGTGTGCTTCCTCGACTAAAACGGGTCTGACTTCTCTCAAATTCTTCTCTGACACAAAATACTTGCCCAATGTTCAGACTTACACACAATATCCTCATCATCGTCAGAAAAGATGCTCTTTTGAGTAGTTTTAAGCAACGGTTTCCTGGCTCTTAATTTGCTTTGAAGTTCATTCATCACATCCATACTTTGATATGGTGCAGCTGTCAGGAAAAGAGTGTTCTGTTTCATCGGCCTATACTTTCTACAAAAGCAGCTACGGCAAACAACGAGTGGGACTGTAGCCCTAAATATTATAGTATCTTAAAGGAGAAAGTATTCGGAAGGGAAACAAACTTTTAATAAACTTTTGCTGAGACTTTTAGACTTTTTGAGACGAAATTTGTTACATTCTTTGACTTTCATTTATGCGTCATGAAAAAAACTACAAAGACTTTTTGAGGATACTTCCAAATAGCAATCTTTTAAAATGGCCTCACTCGTTCTTTTCTTTTGTCCGCTAAAGCTGTGTCCATTGAATATTTTGCCCTTGAAGGTACGCTTTGCTAGGAATCGAATTTCCTAGAACACCACAAAACCATTTAATTTATTAAAACGCTAAAACGTTACAATAAATTTCTTGCAAACGTTACAATAAAAAGAGATAATTAATACCTGGTGGGGCTTTTAACATAGCTGGTTTTGGTGGCAAATGGAAAGGGCTGCTTAAAGACAATATTCCACGCTTTGATTCGGCTTCCTTGCCAATATACGAGTCTTTTTGGCCCATACCGACCATGACGCCCTACGGATTCAAAAAAGTTTATCAGATTCGTTCGAAGGGTCGTGACGATATTGACATATGACGCAGCAATCACGACACAGAGATGTTATGGGACAGCAGACGGGGTAATTCAAGGTTGTCGATGATCATCTACCCAGATTTTCATAATATTCAATTTCCTTAGTATAAATGCAAATATCAAAACAAGATGTCTTTAAACTTTCAACTCATTTAAAGCTACTTCAGACTTCAATTGCAACCGATAACATGCTGTAAATCCCTTAGCATATTTACAAAAGAAGTGACATGTTCCCTTTTCAGCTCTTAGTCTCTTCTCCAAAACACATCAGAACAGGAGTTCGTTGTAAACAGCACATGAATTAACTTCACAAACATTATTACCAATTAACGAAATAAATTAATGGCTTAAAACTAGGAGCGATGCCAAAAAACTCGAAGAGGTTGTGCAAAAAGAGTCTGACAGCGGTGCCATGTACCCACCTGATGTCTTGGCCGGCCAATGACTGATCTTAATTCAACTTTTGGATGTATTTCGCCAGCAAATCCGGCTTTCACAGTGTGCATACCCGTGTCAAGTACAATAGCAGGGGGCAGCATATCTTCATTCATGTCTCTTTCAAGTTCTTCATCTGTAAACAGCTCATCCGATTCTTCAATGCTATTTAATGTAATAATTTCATTCTACATGCGTATGTTAACACAGTTTTGTCTACATAAAACATCGCAGAATAAACTGAAAGATTCTTCAAAACAGCGAAGCTTGCTACTTTACTTCAAAGGTGAAGTTGTCTTCGCAATAGATGTCCCTTTGCAAATTGTTCCATTGCCCTATTCACAATTCATCCAACAGAAAGTCGAACACAGTTTTCGAACACAAAAAACCATCGACTAAGGTTAACGTTTTTCTTCATCCATTAAAATGACACCAGTAAAAATAAAGTTCTAAAACCCGATTGCTCAAAACGTAGCACTTAATGATAAGGATTTTTTTATTTGACTTTTTCTACAGCTCTAGAATTTGTAGACAAACAAGGCAAGACATGAAAAATCAAAAGTATCTGTGCGGATAGAAGCAATGTGCATAAATGCCACTCTACTTTTGAGGCTATAGAGGTTTTACACTAAAGACGAATGGAAATAAGCAATAGATGAAACATTGATGAACACTTACAGACCAGATACGCATCCATTGTCATCTTCACTGCTTAAAGAAGACATCGAGTTCATAGAAGCAGAAACATCCATCGTCTCATAAATTTCATCATCTTGCAAGGCGCATGTGTATTCTAAAGAAGCAGGAATATCCATCTGTTCATAAACATCATCTTCTTCTGAGATGGATGTGTATTCTTCACATTCAAGACAAGCAAGTGTCTCTTCTTTAGAAATATCTTTATCTTCTCCTTGTGAACGGCCCTCCTCAAAACCCATGTAAGCTAGGAAATCTACATTTTCCATTTCCACCAACTCATCTACAGAAGGAGCGTTTACATCATCATATAATTCCCCATCTTTGCGCTCTTCCACAGCAACAAAACTGGTGAACTGCGTCACAATAGAATGTTTTATGCTCAGCTCAATCACCTTGTCTTTCATTTCTCGCTTGAGCATCTCGTGCTCAGTCCGGCTCTCACTCAAGGTGCCATCTTCCCAGTCCTTGATAACTGCCCGGGCGGCCAGCCGGTGAAGTATCTGTAGACAGGGAGTTTATTGACAAATTCAGTATCAAAATTATCATAAGAAAAAGCAACTCTGATACTCCACCAAATTTTTTACCTACAGTAATGAAAGCGAAAACCTTGGGACAGTGGGTTCTTCCATAGTAATGCGATTTCGCTGTCCAATACGATGAAAATAATACGGATCCTATGAATTGATAAAGATAAGTTTTCGTTCACACTTCTTAGCATCTTTAGCTTTATCGTTACTTACAGGCATATATAAAAGTTAGGTCTATCACAGCTCTATATTGCCACTTTGGGCTGGATACAAACCCCAAACTTTGAGTTTGCTGCAAATACAAAAAATATCTAGAGACTAAGTTTAACACCAGTTGCTTCAAAGTTTTAAACTTCGAAGACGCATAAATCGCAATAAACATATTCACCCGTATAAGGTATTCCTTCCTAAAGAATTACCTGTGTATTCATTGCAAACATTCACCAGTTAGAAACACCATTCTTGTCTAAAAATCTTAGGATCGCAACCCTTCCCCCTCCCAATAGTTTTATTCATTTTCACCCCTGATCTCGCCCCTTGATCTCACCCCTGATCTCGTCTCATGATCTTGCCCCTAAATGCCTCATGCCTTCGAATTGGCAATAATGTTTCAACTACGCAGTTCTCAATGACCACATTACCTTTCCTGTTGTCACATTGAGATCAGTAGTCGAGACCATTGTTGATAACTCACGATCGCCAATCTTGGCACTGAGAGTAGCCATCCGGCAATGAGGTACAAATCCATATATAACCTGCCTATATCCGTTGAACAGACAAAAGACATCTTTCGGTGCCTGTCAAAAGAAAATTAGGATATTATACACTGGTATTGGCAGACCTTTGCATCCATCAGTAAAAAAAACTGAGAGACACAAAAAGAATAAAATTGCAGCCTCTACTTTCATATCCTGTTTGTAACATAATTCTTAATAAGTGGGCGTCTTTACGTGTAGCAATTTCTAAGTTTGCAGTAAATAAACTGGATTCTCATAACAAAGGTAATTATTTAATATTTTCAGTAGACGTTGAAATTTTGTTTTATGATAACATTTCTGCTTCCGATCCTTGTATCCCGCAAAGGTCGTGGAAGTAACTCTCTAAAAAACTTCAAGTAATTATCACCAACCTGTAATGGCAGTGGCGCATCGTGATCAAACTGTTGCCAGGTGACTCTGACTGACTCTAACACAGGTTGTTGGGCTTTATTCAGCTGCGATTTAATCTTGTCTTCCCACCTAGATTTGGCCTTTGCATCAAAGAACTCAGCAGCACCAGCACCAATCTGAGCAAGCTTGGTTAAAAGGTGTCTGTTTGCTGTTGACCCAAAGCCAAATGAAAATACTCGTACCAATCTTGAATTCTTTCGTATTGATGCCATGGTTGATATCTCTTCAGAAATTTCTCCATCAGAAAATAAAAACACATTCACCGGATGCGTAGATTTATCATCTGCCAAAAGATGCAGTTTTCGTAAGACTCGCCACAGAGCTGTACCGCCTTTCACAGGATGCATCTTGTTACAAAATTTCTTTGCTTCAGACAGTGATTCTGTAGATTTAGGTTGGCATTTAGGAAAAAGCTGGTCATAGTTTGTTCCAAAACCTATGATATTGAAAGAGCATTTTTCTGGCAACCTGAGTAAAGCCAGAATGACAGCTTTCTTAACATCATTGAAGCAATCTTTCATTGAATTTGATGCATCAATCACAAAAACGACTTCCATTTCTTTCTCTACTGTATCATCGAATTCAGGAAAGAAAGTCAACATGCAAGCTTGGTCATCGCTGTCTTCAGGATCTTGTTCTGACCACATCCTGGGCACATGAATTTCCGCAAGGGACACAAAAAGCTGAAAGCCGGTTCCAAGACCATGTGTGTCTGATTGAAGACCAACTACTGCCTTCGTATCTGTCCTTTTTACTTTAAGCAAATGTGTCGGAGACTTAAGTTCCTTGATTTTAAACGGCATGTCAATGGAAATTAAAAGAGAAAATTTTTCTTCACTCTCTAAAACATCAACTCGCTTTACGTCTGATTGTATGACTTGGTCAAGAGCTTTGTCACGTTTCCATGGGGCAACTGAACCAGGGAGCGAGAAGTTTACCATCTCACCCTCTAAGGGCAGCTCTGAAACGTAGGTAATTTTGATAATAACCCGAGCTGCTGCCGGAAGATTTCCTACACTTACAGTGAATACATCAGGCTTCTCTTCATCCATTAAGTAGGCACCGTGACCTTGGCTTATAGCTTCTTTGTACTCTTTGTGGGCCTTCTCTTTCTCTTTAACCTGCCCAACAATATGCTTCCCATTGATAAATGCCTCAAAACCACAAACTGCAGCCATGCTGTTTAAAGGAAATACATATTTGGCTTCTATAGACTCTGAACTTTCATTGACATACTCTTGAAAAACGACCACCTCTGCTGCAAGGTCTACTAGCTTTGCTCTCACGTGGACAGATTTCAAAGGGACCGGCGTTTCACCATCCGTTTGCAAACCTGGTACCACCTTTTCTAGTGGATCTGGAACTGCTTCAACGTCCTCTAAGCTTATCTCAGAAGAAGAGGTCTGATAATCTGACTCAATACCCTCATCTTCTGACAAAACTTCCAGTGACTTAGAGGGTGAGACTTTAGCGTCACCGTCTATCGTAAATTCCACCAAATACCTGGAATGGCGATAACAGAAAAATAATTAATGAGCACCCAGCTTATAAAGCAGGCCACATAAAAGAAAACTTAAGATCACCTCACCAAAAATAATCTTTATATACTGCAACGTTAATACTGAGTTCAAACTTTGTCTAAATATGCTAGTCCAAAGGAACAATTCATGGTCATTTTTACTTGACAGTCTTAAAAAAATCAGTGGAGACAGACGAGGGATTCGTTGGCGATTACTTCAAATTACTTCAACGCAGTACTCCGGTTAGTGTTAGAAAATTACAAGTAATAGCTCAAGTATTGACTCTTATAGCTAATTTGCTACTGTTCAGCATGAAGAGTTAGGTTTTAGGGCACAAAGAGGAAATCCATCCATGACTTCTAAACTGAGACTTGGGATTACTGAGATTACTGAGATCACTGAGAGTATTGAGATTACTGAGAGTATTGAGATCAGGGATTACTGAGATTGCATGGCACTTATTGTACGGCTCTTACTATTCTTTAGAGCAGCGATAAGAGCCACCAGTAACCAGAAATGTGGTATAACGTCCTTTCTACTTGGCTACAATCTACGCCGAAATCGCTGTAACGCCGATACAAAATCCTTCACAGTTTTCCTCCCTTACAATGTTTCTAAACTTCAAAATTGCACGGTTGCCAGTTAGTGCGGATGTATAAATGCCTTTAATGAAGTAAGAAGTATTGTACAGGGAAGGGGAAGAGGAATTTAGCAGCAGCATTGATAATATTGAGAAGTAGCTAAGCCCAACGGTTTTCAACTTTTAAAACTGAATATTGCGGTGTTTAAATATATTTTGTAAAAGAAAGTAATTTCAGCAAAACTTGCAGCTTCGCTCAAAAATGTATTTTTTACCTTATCCTTTGCTGGGCAGCATCGTAGATAACAAATTCATCATCTTTGAATTTCGTGGCTGTACTTGAGCCACCACGTACGCCATGTGTGCTGTTAAAGCCATCTGGAGGCTTTGTCAAAGAATGATCGAACTCCATATAGTCTTTGCATCGACCAAGAGCAACCTCGTTTACTAGCGCGAATCTAGTGCCTCTGGACTTTGAAGGCGTTGAATACTTGATACAGGTGCTGAATGTTATGAAACAAAGACATTAGGGTTCGCAAGTTTTGCATAAACTTTGAGTATGTAAGTATGTATATACGTAAGAGATGTTAACGATAAAGCTGAATCTACAACGTGTGCCGAATGTAGCAGAGTTTAGAAAAGAGGATATGACAACAATTATTCAATACTGTGTGCTTTTGATATTGATGTACTGGGGCAGAGAGCTGCTTTTAGAACATTTAATTTTACCTTTGATATTAACTACGAGGGATCCTATTTTCGAAAAATAAATTAGAGGACCAAACAAAGGCAGACGATAATCAATACGGTCTAATGTTAGCTGATGAAATCGGGGATTCTTGGATTAATTTCTAACAGAAAAAAACGTAAAATGTTCACGTTAAATGCAGTCAAGAACGAGAAAATGAAGAAAACAAATGATCATTTATCAATATTTTTCAAGAAGAAATGCAGAGAAGAAAGGCTTGTTTGATGAAAGCTGAGACAAATAATCCTTCGTAAATGTCAATCCTATAAATATCACTGGCATAATCACTGGCTACTTTTAGCATTTGGTAAGAGAAAATGACATTCATCTACACCCCTGAGGGTGAATCTTTGAATGTTTCATTGACAGAGTCACCTTAAAGAAGTGTTTACAAGCAAAGTACCTGGCAGAATTTGCAAAATAAATCCCAGAGCCAAGCATGCCAGGATCAGTTCGAGTTCCACCAAAATCATCCACAACCACTTTGGGAAGTAGCAGGCCCCGGGATAGGATCCCTACGAAATTTCTTGCTTGTGACGAATGAAACAACAGTTGTTTATTAGCCAAGCTGGAGCTAAAACCCTCGTCTTCAACAGCGCGATTCACTTCGAAGATATTTTTGACAGCAATAACATTCTTTCCAACTTGGCTTGAAATGAACAGATTTTTTATTTTCTCATTGTCATTTTCACTTGGGTTAAGCCATTGTATATTGCATCCGAGAGCCTTATACTTTGCTCTAGCACTGCTTGTTTTGGCCCAGTTGGTAGCTTCGCTTACTGAAATAACATCTCTGATAACTTGGCACAAATCCATTTTCCGTCGGATACAGCTAATTGAAGCAAGGTCTTCGCGTACTTTGTGAGGTATTAGATCATAGAAGCTGTCTTCAAGAGCCGCTAGTACTAAAAATTGTCCCGTGGCATCTTTTGCGAGAGAATTTTTGATAGAAAGCAAAACACTCTCGGCCTGGTCTAGTTTTGATGCTTTTATTGAGTCAATTGGGACACTAAGTATCTCAGTTAAGTTGCCTTGTGCTTCATTCCAAAAATGATCGACTAGGGTAGCGACTTTTTCATCGATAGCAGTATCACCTTCTTGATTGTGCAAACGCATCTCTGCCAATAACTGAAAAAAATGAGAAAGACCCAAGAATAGCACGTTTTTCTCATTTCGAAGAATCTATTTACCAAGTAAGCATCACACTAATTGTTTCACAGAAATTTTTTTCACCACTTTCATAAATTTTCACGCGTACTGGGCCTATGTATTGCAAAACAAACAGCATCCTTACAGAATTTGAAAATGCAGACGATACTCTCTACGAGCCCAAAAACTTAGGCCACCAAATACCAGAAAAATCACTAAAGGAACATTTTGATTTACACTAGCAATTTACTTAAGTGTCAATCAACATAGACTCACTTAATAGAGAATCCTTTAGTGTAGTAGAGGCTAGCGATAGATTCACAGTTTCAAGAATAAAACATCGTTTTCATTTATTAAGACATTAGTTTGGTGTACCACAGACAGCAGAAAAATTTAGCAGCTTGAGCATGACGTCTGAGAATACTGCCAGGATTAGAATAGCCAAATCAACAGTTAAATATTATTCCTCTTCTCAAAGCAAACAAACTGTCCTAATTCCAAAAATTATAGAAAGCTATGAAACAAGTGTACCAATCTTTAAATGGACTTAAACTTAAACTCAAACAGGCTATAGCAAACATTAATTAACATTAAAAATATTAAAACGAAAATAAAAAAGTGAACAAACAAAAAGTAAATCCAAAAGGAGCACCTTACAGCAAAAAAATATTTGAATGATTTGTGAAAGAGTCAGCATACCTTTTGCAATTCTGGAGAGCCCAAATCTTTGTATGGTAGATCAGAAATTTTCTTTCCGTTTTTAGAGATTTCATAATACCATGATGCAAAAACACTCTCTGCTTCTTTGGGTTCATCGCAAAAACGGTATTGCTCTGTAATTTTGCTTGTCTAGGATAAAAAGAAAAGAGCTGTCAAGTGATGACGTCACAAAAAATATATTTAGAATTTTTGGAATGTGTTCCCATAGCCTGAAAGTGCATCATGAAATACCTCTAAATCTGCAAAATCAGTTAGAAGTATTACGAATTGGCTGAGATATGACCAGATGCGCAATAGTAATCTGTTAGCAAACTTCAAATCTTCTATTGGCCATAGCTCATCCAATTTTAGACAAATTTAACTTATTTTGCATATATGAGAGTATCTTATGGTGTTCTTTTATGATATGTGGTCAAAATTTGAAATTTTTGTCGAAAGCACTTATTCAGTAACAAAATGAATAGATCATGTGGCTTATATTTGAAAAAAAGCTTGGAAAATGTTGTGTGAACAAGATACAACAAATGTTGCTCTTGACCTGTCTGAAGCATAAAGTTATTATACCCAAAACAATTATGGTGTTTGAAACATTTACCTTATCTTTGGGAAAACTGTCCTTTGATATGATATCTGAAACTTCTTATCGTAGGTTTGAACATCAGTGGAATTGACATGCAACTCAAGAACCTCTATACATTGTGCATTGTCCGTTAGAAATGACTTCAAGACAAAAAGACAAAATATTAAAGAATATCGAGGTAAGAAGCAATTTAAACTTTCAATTATAGATCGAAAATATTCACTTTTCTTTATTGTTTTCAGATACAACTTTATTATATTGCTTAATTTGAAATATATTTCAAATTAGCCTATTCATATTTTTCCTTGCAATCTCATATTCTATCAACCACTGCATCATGATTGTTATGTACGTTATATGAATGTTAGATAAAAGATCTTACCTCGAAAAGTCCAAAATTAGCTATTTCATAGCCATGTGTTGGAAAAGATGGACACTTGCCGCTTTCCTTTGACCAGGTCCTTTAAAATATTGATGCAATAAAATTGATTATAACAGCAAGATCAATCAAACACAAAGCCTCTTAGTCGGTATGTCAAAATCTGGTTTTTTGGGTAAAGCATAATTTGAAGTGTCAGACAATTAGTACTTATATATGCTATGTTTTGGTGTTTCTGAGTTATTTAATATAACATATATAAAAACTAGCTTCATGATCTTTCACTAATAAAATTATTTTATAAATGAAACAATGTTTTGACACATTCATATCCTAGCAACCCAGTAGGCAGAATAAATGGTAACTCATAGTTGCATACATACTGGTATTGCTTGTGATTGACATTTGTGACTATTTTGGAATATTTTAGTTCCTTTGCTTCAGACTTTCCTGGTAATAAATTAACAGTAACATTCAAGTCAATCAGTATATACAAGAAGAAAATATTGAATAAAAAGATATACTTTTAAAAAAAAATTAAATAAATATAGAGCAGACCTTTTAAGTTTAAGTTTTAAAAAATGAGGGAGTTCTGTGAAAAAGTAGGGAAAAGGTTTGGGCAGTCATGGAATTTCAAGGTCAGAGACAGATCCAGAATGATTCATGACTGCCACACTGCATAATCAGAGTCAGAGGTTGCAGCCCAAGAAACTTTCCTGTTGTTTTGCCCCCTGCTTTGTTAAAAATGCATATCTAGAGTGACCACCAATTATAGAGATATTTTTACAGTACGTTGTAATCATCAGTCAAGTTATTACATGAAAATCACTTGGCTCTGGGGGTGATATTAAAATCATGCTGGAGTTACTCCATAGCAGAGGGTCTTAGTGTACCACAGGAATCCAACCTACTTGCTACTGAACCTAAAACTTTTTTATCCTTTCTGCTTTGAAACAATTTGGTCATTAGTAAACAATTTGTTATTTCTGAGATTTTGAGCTGGCTATTAGATAAAACCCAATGATAATCATCTTAAAATTTACTAATTTTTGGTATAAAATTGATATACCAAACAGTTACACTGAGGTGGCACTTGGACAGACATGCTTAAACACTGTGCTCTATCTTTCAATTGTTTTTAACCATTTTACACAGTTTTTACTGAGAATGATTTATAACAGTACATAACTTCAACCAGGCCATCTGATAGTTAAATCTGGTGAACTTTATAAAAAAACTAGCTAAAGTGCAATGCACAGTGGGCCAGAAATTCAGAGGTATACTCTGCTGATATGGTGTAACTTTAACTTAACATAGATTATGCTCCTCCAATAAAATGTTCTTCGGTAAATTTGCAAACAATTTACTGTGTGTCATAATTGCAAAAGAGCTAACCTGTGTTTAGTGTTAACAAGAATGAAACAATTATATTTAACTAGCTCTCTCATTAAAATGACACTACTTAACCTGTGTGTGGATTTGCTGTAATCTAGTCATTTGCTATTATTCTTAGGAAAGAGAGTTTTTGCTAAGGTAAGAATAAAAAATGACAAATTTGAATAAATCAAGAACTTCAATGCAAAATTATTTGTTGCCTGTCAACATGATTTTGTGTCCCACACAACATGCATTAGACTTGGTCCATCTGATAGGGCAACATGAAATACTGCCAAATTCCTAAAGCCATAAACTCAGGTTGTGGATTTGTAAGTAAACAAACTTCAAACTGGACCATAGGTACCTTGTATACAAACACATAAGTTTTAACATAAAAGGAAAAAGAATGATGCTAAAAACTGATGCTGGTTTCACCTCTACAATACGAATTAAGCAATGTGAAAATAACATATAACAAGTTTACCTGTAGATGTGACTTTCCCACTGCTAAAATTGTTGGCTGGTTTTGTACCAAACAAAATGAAGTCATCTGGATGAAGCAACTTTCCTTTTTCAATGCAAGCAGTTACAAAGTCAGTTGAAACAACAGGTATCCCATATTTCAAGGCAGTTTTTATTTTGTATGATGGCTCACTGTCCTCTTTGGCTGATACCACCATATGTGTAACCTAAGAATGGTTTTAATAGCAAAATTAAGTTTATTATTTGACTAAATAAACTAAATAAGAAAGCACATTATTTGTATATTTAATATCTTCCTCAAATCTCTAGAATCCAATATTATAAACTTAAAGCTGTTCTATTAGTCAGGTTAGATTATTTGTGATTTCCTATCCACCATGAGTTTTCATTTTACTGAATCCTGCTCATATTGTAACACTGAGTTACTGTTTTAATCTTAGCTGTTTATTACCGTAATATTTAAACCAAAACAATTTTGTAAGGGTTGGTGATATTCCCTTGAAATAACATCTGATTTGAAAAAAGTAGGAATAAATCCAGGCTCAAAACGAAATTTTCTTTAGAACATTGAGGCAGGGCAAAATTTATAGTATTCTTACCAAAATGAAAAAACAACTTTAGAGTCACATGGCTTGTAATCCAGGCTGCAGAATATGGCAAGTGAACACCTGAGATATTTTTTCAAAAATGTCCCTGCACACCCGGTATGACATGGGTGTACCTTATTGCTTAGAGCAAATGAAGAATTAAGTTTCCTCAAGATCATGTACAGTTTCTGATCTTCATTTTAAATATCCTTTAAATATCATTTGGCTCTAGCATAGCTGACCATACTAAGGTGCACAACTCTGGTGCACACTTAAACCAAAATGCACACTCGCACACTTGAAATTTTGCTTTAGCACACCTGAGATCCTCTTGGAAATTGTCATACTCTGCAGTCTGACATGTTATTAGCTGCAGAGTACAACAATTGCTGAAAGAATTTTTTCGAGTTTGAGTTTGAGTTGTGATGCAAAACCGTGATAAGCTTTGACCTTGTACGGTTGAATAATTAAAAATCGCCCAGGTTTTTTATGATTTCTCAAGAGAACATAAGGATACCTTTTTTGTAACGATATAGGAAATGATTCCATCATTGTCTGTTATCTGTGCCCGTAGAATCTTCTTTAACTTGAATGAAAATGAGTAATCCAACACTAGACACACTAGACAGTTACTGAAAATCTGCTTGGACATCTCTCAATCTATCTGTATTCTGTAAGATTAAAAATAAGATGGTTATCTTCCTTGGTATAACCACTTGTGCTTCCCCTTGGGTAGGTGGGAAAGCTAAGTACACATGAGGGCAGGGCCGTAAATCTGTCATGTGAATTGGGAGGGTCAGCAGGGCGGATGAATATAAAGTATGCAGTGGGTCATGGCACCACAAGGAATTTATGGTATGTGTTATGGAAACAGTTGAGGGGCAAATTACTTTAAAAACAAAAGTCAATATTTTTGGATTTCTCAAGACTTTCTGCTCTATAGAAGGTTTTTACAGATTTTCCTTAGTACATTGACTTGTGTGTATGATTGGATGGATAACATTTTTCAGAGACGGCCTCAAAAAATTGAACCTTGGGAGCTAAGAATCAAGTTTACTGTCGTAGGAGGACCCACCATGGTTGGGTCTGACGCGAAAGAAAATTTTTGAAATTTTACCTTCTAGAAAGGCTAAAAAAGCATCCCCCAGACTAAATTTAAAAATACTAGAATCGCTCAGAATATAAAGTTCGGCGTTTCTCAGAAGAACACAGATTATTGTTTATTGGGTGAAATTTTGGAGGGGAAGAGTCATGCTTAAACCTTAGTGACAGACTTTGGGGAAATATGGGACGCTGTTGTATTGATTGGTAGAAATTTACTTTCTGAACAGAAATGTGCGTCTTCCTTATTTTGACTGATTTCAGTAGGCCATGTTTACACATAATAAATGAATACATTGTAATGATACAGAAAGTGATTTACTAAATAAAAGTAAATAATAGACAAATAATAGAAATGTACGTAAATAAGTTAGTAAATAGGTCAAATAAAATGACAGATTGCTCTCTTTTTATTTCATACTCTGTTTTAAAAAATAAAACGGTAGAAAACAGTAGAAAACGGTAAAAAACGGTAGAAAAAGGTAAGTTTTTATCTTGTAAAAATTTTAAAAACCACTCTGCTTACAAAAATTACCTTTGTGACTGAGGTTTGTTGCAATAACACAGAAAACGTAGTTTGGTTCTAACCCGGCTACCAGGGATTTCTTTCTTTCAAGGAAAATGATGGTAATTTCTCCAAAAAAATCGTTTTGCTCCAGATTTTTGGGGGGGTCCAGTCCCCTCCGTCCCCCCCCGGGATTTACGGCCCTGCATGAGGGGGAAACCATGGACACTTAGAGGAAACTATGAAAAAAAATTTGAAAAAAGAATGGTTGGATATTACAGCTTAACTAGAATATTACCTAAGTATGCATATTTTGTGCATTAAAGATACTTGACAATTAGTTGGCAGTATTGATGATAAGCAAAGCAACTGATCAGGGTTGAGCTGAGGGGTTTTGCTGATACCGCATTATGCTGTCCTGTCATCACTGTCATCACGAGATAGCGAATCTGTGCAAGCACATCTTACTTCTTATTCAAGTCTTCTTAGCTCGGTCAATGTTAAATATCTGTTGCATACTTAAATATATGTTGCATATTTTGCAATATGCATTGCTAGATTTTGATGGAAACAATTAAAACGACTAAGTATAGAACCCTCTGCAAGAAAGCTTTGAGCCCTCGATGAAATAGATAAATAGGCCTATCGTTACTTGCTCGTTCTCGGCGATTAACTTGCAAGTCTATTTCTTGAAGCATAAAAATAAAAACAGATTAGACCTTTTCGTTCGCACCTTTTTCACTTACTGAACATATCTTCCTCCGTCTGAGGGTGCGATTTGCTGCAATCAAACCAGTCGTGACACTGACAAAATTTCCTTCCGCAACTGCAACAAGAACAACAACAGTAATGACTTATGACGTCACCTTGCTCAAATTAGCCTGATTCGTCATATTCCATGGATTCTTTTAAAAGGGCTAATTTTGGACGAAAATTGTTTATGATTTTTGTTACGGTAGAAAGGTATAATTCAATATCGTGTACTTAGTTCACGTGGTTATCAAAATGAACTTTTGTTAAATTTTAACTATTGTCCTGTTCTAGCTTTCAATTGGTTGCAACATTGTCCTGTTATCATTGGCAGTGGCGGAAACTGCAGGGGTGTGGGAGATGGGGGGGGGGGCTGTAGGGTTACAGTTTTACCAAGAAGGGCTAACAAATTGTAGACTGAGAGGCGTAGTCTAATCATACCTTCAGATAATTTTGGTAAGCCAAATCGTATTAAAGTTCCCCCTCAGATCCGGTCCAAACAACATGATTTTTTCATTATAAACTAATTTAAAGATGAAGACTTCAATTCTGACATTTTTTCAACTTTTTTCATTGACATCCTCCATCTTAGTAATTTTTGTTACTAAGACGTAAAAAACACTGTCGAATTCAGTGCAAATTCAAAGTGGCTGCACAAAACTACAGCTTGATGCTGGGCCAGTAATATTCCCTTTATGCCCTTCTTTACCAGAAAAAGAGATAACTTCCAAATAACGTATAATCCCAAAAATTGCAAACTTTTCAATTAAAAAGTGCGCACATGAACAAGAGGGTGTTTTGAGAGTACCTAGGACTCAAAACCCGGAAAATAGTTATGAAAAACGGAAAACCAGGACTTGGAAATTGGAAAATCCTGAGACAAATATGTATATTTCAACGTGGTTCACCTTTTCCTGTGTTCTGCATTAAAAGACCTTCGTACCCGCAGTTATTACCAGCAAGAATATTTGCCTGCAAGGCACAGGGTAGATCCTTGCCTTTTTTCTCCAAATAAAGATGTCATCAGTGTTTGCAGAAGAACAGAATTTTAGGGAAATTTGTCGTAGATTGCGGAAATCTGGCAATTTCTCAACGGAACGAGGGAATTCTACACACTTGACGGACGCAGATTTTTTCAAAATAATACACGGATTGCAGAAATTTCAAAATGTTTAGCGGGATTCTTAACCTGCTCCTTGATGGATAGGATTTCATCATCGCATGTTTTGATCTTGTTAACTTGTAAGTTGTTCATAAATAAACTTATAAACATTCAGAAGTGGCTCCAGAAATCTTCCGACAGAGGGGCTGGAGCTTCCAACAGGGGGGGGGGGCTAAATTTACTATAATATGCAGTTTTCGTACGTTACTTTGTCAAATTTGCTCCGACAATAACCTAAAATTTTCTTCCCATAGGGGGCTGGATGCTTCCGATAGAGGGACTGTCGTGCCCTAGCCCTCCCCTGGCGCCACCACTGTATACATTCTATTGCCCAGTTGCCCCCTATCTGCTATTTTTTACCAGAAAGTACTTATTTCCACATTGTAAGAGCGTGTATGTTGAATAAAAGTTGTTCAGCATGAAACCGTCTTTCAGAATATGTACATAAAATGTGGTTTTAGCGACATCAAAATTTGAACCCCTGCTGATCAGTGCGCCATATGGGATTTGCCCAAATAAGGAATTCCCAATGTCCAATTGATGGGACTTTTTTCTGGTTATTCCCAGTATCGTATGGAACCTATGTGCCAAATTACAGCTTTTAATTATTTTTGTCCGGGTAAAATCATACTTCCACCACACCATTGCTTTTCGCTTGAATTCTATGGTTTCAATCTCCTTTTAGTCTATAGCTGAAACTATTTCATCTATTTTAGTTTCATATTTTTGCCTTCTATAAGGTAAAAAATCAATTTTGGAAAATCGTTTTAAAACTTTAAAGCATACAAAAGCTTTTCGTCTGGCATTCTTCAGTGTAGTAGCTCAACCAATAAACCGAAACATTTCGTCTCGGTTGGTAGGCTTGTTGTGGCCGAC